ATTATTATTATTATTATTATTATTATTATTATTTCATAATAATTGGATGTCATTCATAATAGTCGATAATTGAAGCTGGGAATGTCCTTCATCGGTTTCCAAGGTGTCTTGACCATAACTTGGGGTTCTGCTGTTGGGGTTCCACCACTAGGAACTGAGCCTTACTATTTGCCTGGAACCAACTCTCAATATTTATTGCTCAGGCTTGGTGTTTCTTTAAACTCTCAAGACACAATTTAGTGGCTGCCGCACGAATGAGAGTTGGAGAGAAACCTAAAGAGGAAGAGTTATCAATTATGTGCCAGATCAGCATGGTGTGCGAGGTTATTTAATTGAGATGTATGCATTCTAAATAATTTAGCCGTTCAGTATTCGCCTCCCTCCGGGACACGATTTGTCAAGAGCACAAATATGGAGACAAAACAGCAGACTGTCGGAGTAATAGAATCTGTAACTCCAGTGTCAAAAGAGATTAAAGGCGGGAATGGCTGCGTCCCATTTTAGCCCAGAGGACTAATGCAGGCAGTGACATGAATGCTGAACCCCAGTCGGACTGCCATTTTGATCGAGTGACTGTTGAGAGCGGTCCAAATGTCTCTGATAACATCCAGCTTTTGTAAAGCTTCTAAGCCGCATCAGATTCTTCTGGGAGATTTGCAGTGGAGTGTACTGAGAGAAAAACCTAAACAAGGAAACAAAAGGCAACTCATGAAATTTGAAGGCCACCTTACTAATGGCGGGTGCCACCAGGGAAAGGTGACTTCTTTCAAAAAGGACATATCTTATTTGGGAAGATCTGGTGTTGGAGATTCACAACTGGGAGGGCTTCACAACAGAGATCAGAACTGGGAGTTGCTGTCCAAAGTCCTGGCTGAAACAGGTTTTTAAAATCTTTGGAGAAGTAAAAGTGACACAAAGTTGGGATACTCCCTTAAATACAGGTAGTCCTCGACTTACAGCAGTTCATTTAGTGACCGTTTGAAGTTACAACAAGCAGTGAAAAAAGCGACTTATCATTTTTCACACTTAAGGCCATTGCAGCATCCCCATGGTCACGTGATCAAAATTCAGACGCTTGGCAATTGACTCAAATTTATGACAATTGCAGCGTCCTGGGGTCATGCCCTCCTCACCTTTTGCAAACTCCTGACAAGCAAAGTCAATGAGGACGTCAGATTCACTTAACAATTGTGTTACTAACTTGACAACTGCAGTGATTCACTTAACAACTGTGGCAAGAAAGGTCGTAAACAGGGGCAAAACTCACTTAACAAATGTCTCGCTTAGCAACAGAAATATTGGGCTCAATTGATTCAAAATTACCGCGGCACTGAAAAAAGGGACTGACAGTCAGTGCTCGACTTACGACTATTCAAAATTACAATAGCACTGAAAAAAAGTGACCGACAAACAGTCCTCGCACTTACAACCATGGTCACATGATCCCAATTTGGGCCTTTGGCAACCGGACTGTATTTACAATCTTTGCAGTGTCCCTGGATCATGTCATTGCCATTTACAACCTTCCAGGACAATGCGAGAAGCTGAATTCACTTAATAAATGCATGATTCACTTAGTAACTGCAGTGATTTGCTTAACAACCATGGCAAAAACAGTCGTAAAATCAGGTGAAATTCACTTAACAGCTGCCTTGCTTAGCCATGGAAATTTTCTCTCTCTGTCTCTCTCTCTGTCTCTGTCTCTCTCTCTCTCTCTCTCTCTGTCTTTCTCTCTGTCTCTCTCTCTCTCTCTCTCTCTCCTTTCCCAGGTGAAGTGGTGTTTCTGGTTCCGATGCCCGCCGATGATTCTGGATTAGGATGGCAGTCTTCGCCCAGTGGAGGTAAACCCACTCCAGCTACCACGTTTACCCAACAGGACATCAACGAAGGCGTCATTTGGTATAGACACTCTGGAGCCGAGACAGAGAGCGACTCATTCCGCTTCCAGGTACATTATACCCCCGTTAAGTAACAAGTGCTTTGATTTGGTCTTATTTTATAATGCCTTGTTAAGACCACCCTTGGAATATTGCATCCCGTTTTGGTTGCCACGATATAAAAAAAGATGTTAAGACTCTAGAAAGAGTGCAGAGAAGAGCAATAAAGATGATGAGGAGACTGGAGGCGAAAACATACGAAGAACTGCAGGTTGCTGGAATTGGGTATGTCTAGTTTAATGAAAAGAAGGACTAGGGGTGACATGACAGCAATATTTCAATATTTGAAAGGCTGCTATAAAGAAGAGGGGGTCAACCTATTTTCTGAAGTGCCTGAAGGCAGAACAAGAAGCAATGGATGGAAACTAATCAAGGAGAGAAGCAACCTAGAACTAAGGAGAAACTTCCTGACAGTTAGAACAATTAATCTGTGGAACAACTTGCCTCCAGAAGTTGTGAATGCTCCAACACTGGAAGTTTTTAAGAAGAGACTGGACAGCCATTTGTCTGAAATGGTATAGGGCAGTCATGGCGAACCTTTTAGAGACCAAACCGCAACCCAAAACCCACTTATTTATCGCAAAGTGCCAGGGCCGCATCAGCATTGTGGTGCCCTCGGGGTGGGTGGGCATGGGCGTGGCCCACTGGGTGGGCATGGCTGCGGTGGACATGGCAGACTGAGTGGGTGTGGCTGTGGTGGGCATGGTCACCTTGATGTTGCTCGTGGGGGGGACGCCTGTGGGGGCTGGGCAAGAATGAGGGAGATCCAGGGGGTCTCTGGTGGGTGGGGCGGTGGGCAGGAGGCTCGTCCTGCGGGGTGACGCAGGGGGTAGGGCGGGGGTACCATTGCTGCGGGGCAAGGCGAGGCGGGGGGGTGCTGACTGACACCATCAGCCTCCGCACACAGACGCCAGCGAGCGCATGGGGACGTGGTCTACCACCTCTACTCGAGCTTGCTAGCCAGTTGCTTTGCCTCCTTTGTGCTGGGTGGGTCTGCCGCTCCAGGCGCCAGCAGTGGCCTAATGGACCTGTGCAAGCTGGCGGCGGTGGCGGTCTCCTGCTTGAGCAGGGAGTTGGACTAGAAGACCTCCAAGATCCTTTCCTTCTCTTGTTCTGTTGTTCTGTTATCTGCAGAACTGTTGGGATTTCTTTTCCGCGTACAGGTCGCCCATCAGAAACGGCGCAATTCCACCCCTGTGGTGAGACCATCACCAGGCAGCTCTTTAAAGTGTCCTGACAGGACACTATAAAAGTGCCCAAAGTGGGTCTGTCTCCCTAAAAAATGTCTTCCTTTTTGCTTAGAAGGCTAATCTGGCTTGTACCTCCAGCATGTTGTATGTTTGCTTTACCTGTCACTCCGGGCACTGAGGAGGCAATTAAGGTAATTTCTGAGGTAATTAGCATAGATGATAAAGAGGTAATGTAGAAGAGCTGGATATGGTGCCAGATCCTTTTAAAATTAATAGCAGCATTGTTGTGGTGCGTTTTTTTCAATTCACAGCAGGATGGAAGGGAAGGTTGCAGTTTGAGCTTTTCTGAAGAACTATCTCGCGATTGAGGAAATAATTATGTGGTTAAATTTGTGTGTGTGTGTGTAGGGAGTTGGAGAGAAGCTATGATAGCTGTACAGGTAGTCCTCAACTTACAATCACAATTGAGCTCAAACCTGTTGTTAAGCAAGACAGTCGTTAAGTCAGTTTTACCCCAGTTTACAACCTTTCTTGTCAGAGTTGTTAAGTGAATCACAGCAGTTGTTAAGTTAGTAACACGGTTGTTAAGTGAATCTGGCTGAACCCCATTGACTTTCCTTGTCAGAAGGTCACAAAAGATGATCACGTGACCCTGGGACACTGCAACCGTCATAAATACAGGCCAGTGGCCAAGCATCCAAATTTTGATCACATGATCACAGGGATGCTGCAATGGCCGGAAGTTTGAAGAAATAGACATAAGCCGGTTTCTTAAATTGCTGTTATAGCTTTGAACAGTCACTAAACGAACTGTTGTAAGTCGAGGACTACCTGTATGGATTTTTCAGTTCACAGCATGATGGAGGGGAAGGCTGCAGGTTGAACTATTTTGCAACTGGGGGAATAATTATATAGTTTAACTTTGTGTGTGTGTGTGTGTGTGTGTAGGAAGTTGGAGAGAAGCTGTGCGTAGCTGTAGTCTCTCACAAAACTATAACCCATCTGTCAGGCCGCAGATGAATAGCTAGTGACGGCTGACAAAATGCAGATGGATTATTTTGCATTAATATTCTGGGAACTGCGTTGCCAGTGACCTCTTGCAAAATAGTTCTCCCCGAGCTCAGTCAGAGATGTGTCATTTATTTCCCTTTCCATTGACTTTCCCCAGAGGTTCGCTTGACCAAACTCTTGACTGAGATCTATGAACCTGTATATGTTGAGATCTCTGTTTCTTTTTTTGGGGGTGGGGGGGAGGAAATATTCCATGCTACATTTCTTCCACGTTGCATGAGAGTATAGGTCTCCAGGCTGCCATTTATTGATTTTTCTGTTTTTCCTTGGGGCAGCCCTTTGGAAATCTCCTATCGATTCAGGGGTATCGGTTGCATAGCCTCTTATCAGCTGCTGGGACAGGATACATTCTGATAAGGCACAATGTTAATTTATTTATTAGCACAGTGTTTGTTTGTTTATTTATTTATTAGTAATGTATTACATTTATTATAGCCGCACACTCCAGAGGACTTTGGATGGTTATCAGGATCCATCTAAGGGGCTGCCACGAAGAAGAGGGGGGTCATCCTATTCTCCAGTGTACCTGAAGGCAGGACAAGAAGCAATGGATGGGAACTAAGCAAGGAGAGAACCAGCCTAGAACTAAGGAGAAAGTTCCTGACTGTTAGAACAATTAATCAGTGGAACAATTTGTCTCCAGAAGTTGTGGGAACTCCAGCAGTGGAGGTTTTATAAGATGAGATTGGACAGCCATTTGTCTGAAATGGTATAGAACAGGGGTAGGCAACCTTGGTTCTTTTATGACTCGTGGACTTCAACTCCCAGAATTCCTGAGCCAGCCGTGCTGAGGGGAAAGGGAGAGTTTCCAAGCTGAGCCATGCTGGCTCAGGAATTCTGGGAGTTGAAGTCCACGAGTCATAAAAGAGCCAAGGTTGCCTACCCCTGGTATAGGGTCTCCTGCTTAAGCAGGGGGTTGGACTAGAAGACCTCCACGTTCCCTTCCAACTTTGTTATTCTGTTATAAAGTAAGTAAAAAACAATTAAAAGCACACGAGCCAAGACAGGGCAGACCAGACAAAAACCATCGTATCAATAAAAATGATAGGAATAGGATAAAAACCACAACAGGAGCTGCACAGGCTTCCTAACCTCAGGCCTGGGAAGACAGGTAGATGTTAAGAGCCTTCCTGAATAGCAGGAGAATGAGTGTCATCTGGGTTTGTAGGGCAATGTTGCTCTACCTGGGCAACCTTAAGATGAGTGGACTTCCAACTCCCAGAATTCTAGCTGGCTGGGGAATTCGGGGGGTTGAAGTCCACACACCTCAAAAGTTGCCAAGATTGGGAAACACTGCTCTAAGGGGATGCTCTTCCAGAGAGTAGGGACACTCACACAGCTATGCCCCATTCCGCAACCTTTCTTACCACTTAAGTCAGGGATAGGCAACCTTGGCTCTCTTATGACACGTGGACTTCAACTCCCAGAATTCCTGAGCCAGCATGGCTCAGCTTGGAAGCCTCTCCCTTTCCCCTCAGCATGGCTGGCTCAGGAATTCTGGGAGTTGAAGTCCACGAGTCATAAAAGAGCCAAGGTTGCCTACCCCTGCCTTAAGTGAATCACTTAAGTGGTTAAGTTAGTTAACATGATTGTTAAGTGAATCTGGCATTCCCCATTGACTTTGCTTGTCAGGAGGTCACAAAAGGGGATCACATGACCTCGGGACACAGCAACCGTCATAAATATCAGCCAGTTGCCAAGCGTCCGAATTTTGATCACGTGTCCATAGGGATCCTACGATAGTTGTGTGAAAAATGGTTATAAGCCACTTTTTTCAGTGTTGGCACTTTGAACGGTCATGAAATAAATGGTTGTAAGTCGAGGAATTGAAGTCTCGGAAAGAAATCATGAGGATGCATCTGTTGCTAAAAAGCTTGCGACTGTCCGCCTTGCTGAAAGTAGACCTTAGATCAAACATGTCAAACTTGCGACGTCGCGTGACGTCGTGCAACGTATTGGGATGGTTTTGCCATTGCCGGCAATGGGGTGGGCGTAGCTTCCGGATGACGCGTCCGGCCCGCGGGCCAGCAGTTTGACACCCCTGCCTTAGATGGTTCATAGGTTCTCCTACTGAAAACATTTTGCCCTTAGGAAATCATGCTGCTGAGATTATTCAGAAGACAAGCTGAGGTACAAGTAGTTCTCAATTTAGGACCACAATTGGGATTGGAATTTTCATCATAAATCATTGTGATTGTAAGTTGAATCGGACCCGATTTTTACAGTTTTTGTTCAGTGAATCCAACTTCTCCAATGGGCTTTTTTTTTTGCTGGAAATTGGGAGGAAAAAGGTGTGTGACCACGGGGGGGAGGGCTGCAACAGTTATAAGTGTGAATACAGGTTGTAAATCACTTTTTCCAAAGCTATTGTAACTTCAAACAGCTGTTAAGTTGAGAACTGCCTGTAATCTCTCTGCTCCAGCAGTGTCATTAGTGCACTACAATCTTATCTGTCGTGATGCATAAAAGTCTCACTGCCTCTGTTTCCTTTGTGTAATGTCATATTTGCAGGTCTCTGGTGCAGGTTTTCCACAGACCCGTCTTGAGACCCACTTGTTCAACATTGCCATCTTACCACCTAGCCTGGCGTCATCTGGGTCCTCCTCCAGATTTTCTTTTCATATGACGGTAAGTCCAGAATTACATTTCTCCAAGAATGCATCTTTCTCTCTATCTCTATCTCATCTATCTATCTATCTATCTATCTATCTATCTATCTATCTATCTATCTATCTATCTATCTATCTATCTATCTATCTATCTATCTATCTATCTATCTATCTATCTATCTATCTATCTATATCTTATCTATCTACGTATCTCTTATCTCTGTCTGTCTGTCTGTCTATTTATCTATCTGTATTAAATTTGGATTGCTAACAAAGAGTTAAAGGGAAGCTGATATAGCTATTTCGAGCTCCTTAGCTCTCATCAGCCAGCTACACCCTTCTGAGATTCGAACCCGGGCTGCTTGCACTTTAGGCAGCTGTATTGACCTTTAAGCCACAGGCTCTTTCTCACTTTGTCAGCTGTGTCAGGGAGGGAAGAGACCCGAGGGAGGAGATATGTGTTGTTTTTTTTATAAAGGTTTTTATTGAGTTTTATGAGGTTGGGGAAGGGATAGGACCAGGATGGGGATTAAGGTTCAGGGTGGGGTTAGGATCGGGATTGGGGTTGGGACAGGATTGGGAACGGATGCAGCCAGTCGGCCCAAATATGGGAAGAAGAGATTGGGGCTGATACAGACAAAATAATTATTTTTGACACTAATACCCTCAAGCAAAATTGCCCGATGGCGCCGAGCACTTTAAAAAGTTGCAAATTCTTGGCCTTTCATGTAGCTTAGATTATAACCTGTATTTTTTATGGAAAACAAATGATTGCCCTGCTATCTAGCATTAATTGGATGAATGTGGGAATGGGAGAACAAAGGATAGGAGTCAACCCTTTTTTTTCCAGTGAATGGCATTTGACTCTTGAAGGGGACCTTTGTAAGATTGCCTGCATAATTTAATGAATGCAGTTTTCAGCTATAGTTTCATTCTCTGTCTTTGTCTCCTTCCCTCCCTTCTCTTTAAGAGTCTTTCTATATTCTTGCCCTCCGTGACCAACTGAAGGTCAGACAGTTTGACATTTGTTAAAAGACCTGAATGTTAGGCTTGGATGTCTGTTGGAACAATCTATGGATTGTACTGGTTTTGATCAGCTCTATTCTTAATTTGTTCTGTGTGGCTCCTGAGCCTTTTTGGTCTTTGATGAAGAAAGGTTTGGATTAGGATCAAGGAGACCGGGGTTCAGATCCACCCTAAGCCATGAAGCTCAAGGTGACTTTGGATCTGTTCTTCTGTCTCAGCCCAACCTACCCACAAAATTGTTGCCTTGAGCTGATGGACGGATTGTTTGTTGTTATTTATTTATTTGTAAAATTTATTACCCACCCATCTTTGTTATTGTTGTTGTTAAATTGTAAAGTCGTGTCCAACCCATCACGACCCCATGGACAACGTTCCTCCAGGCCTTCCTGTCCTCTACCATCTTCTGGAGTCCATTGAAGCTCACGCCTACTGCTTCAGTGATTCCATCCAGCCACCTCATTCTCAGTCGTCCCCTTCTTCTATTGCCCTCAATCTTTCCCAGCATTAGGCCCTTCTCCAGTGAGTCCTTCCTTCTCATTAGGTGGCCAAAGGACTTGAGTTTCAACTTCAGGATCTGGCCTTCTAAGGGGCAATCAGGGTTGATCTCCTCTAGGACTGACTGGTTGGATCACCTTGCAGTCCGGGGGACTCGCAGGAGTCTTCTCCAGCACCGTAGTTCCAAGGCCTCAATTCTTTGGCGCTCAGCCTTTCTTATGGTCCAACTTTCACAGCCATACATTGCAACTGGGTCATACAGTAACTCTGGACAGCGTATCCCAAAGGTGTTTTTCCCCCGAGGCAACTAGACTTTCTTGTTTTTTCTTTGAAGACATTTTGCTTCTCAGTCATCCAGATCATGGTTGTCCCAAAGGTGCTTTTTCAAGAAGCAACTGGACTTCCTTCTTCACAAAATGGAATCAGTTTGTTCTCCGCATACCTACGTAGTTTAATTTAGGGCCATTGAATAGGGTCAGGGAATCCAGATTCTGGGCCCACTGGCAGAACCAGGTCTTCAGCGCCTTCCGAAAGAGGGTTAGAGTGGGGGCCAGTCTAATCTCTGGGGGAATGATGTTCCAGAGAGAGAGAGAGAGCCACCACGGAGAAGGCCCTTCTTTTGGGTCCTGCCAGATGTATCTCCTTAGGGGACAGGATCCGCAACATTCCTTGCCTCCCCACTCTAGTGGGTCGGGTAGATGTGACCGGCAAGAGACGGTCCCTGTTTTGTCCCAGCCTTTGTGAGTCCTTGTTAACTCACAAGGACAAACCTCTCTTTTAACAAATAGGCTGGAAATGCAGGAAAATCAAACCCCTTTTATCAATTATGTACAGACCTTGAAAATGTCCCAAAAGCAAAGGCAAACACAACACGATGCAAACGGAGAATTGTCCAAAGGCAAAGAGAACACGATTCAAATGGAGAATTGTCCAAAGGCAAACGGAGAATTGTTCATAGGCAAGGCAAACAGAACATGATTCCATGAAACTTGAGTCCTTTGCAAACGGTTGCCCTCAGCAACCAGCACCGCCCACATCTTCCCTTTTTATTATGCAGCCCCAAGGCGTGGCTTCTCAATGCCTTCTCCTCCTCCCTTGGAGTCGCTACAGTGCCTCCCTCTGTCTTGCTCTTGTTGCCTGTCTGCGTTTGTGAGCGTCCATGATGTCTTCCAGCTGTGAGTCCTCAGAGTCTGACTCAGCTTCCCAGCACAGCTGGGTCTCAGCCTGAGCACGATTGGAAGGGCCAGGCTCTTCATCAGATTGTAAGTCCTGGAGCTCAGCAGAGCCTTCCTCCAATCTGATGGCTCTCCAGGCCCCTCCTCCTCCTCCTCTGATTCCCCGGACTCAGCTGCCGGGTCCACTGGCTGGCACGGAATCACAACAGTCCCTTCTTCCCAGTTTAACCCCCCAGCCTAGCCCAATGATTGGGGAAGGGCCAGGTCTTCACAGTCAGGATTCCCAGAGGAAAAACCGAGTATAAAGTACACATGCATTTAGTAAATATCTATCTTTCAGGCACTGGAAGATCGTGTGACACCTATTCGACCGCATCACCTCCCTTTTGTCAACTCGCAAACTCCAAGTGAAGAAATCACGTACAACGTGACTGTACCCTTGCCTCCAGATCAAGGCAAGATCATTTCATATGGATAAAAAAAATGTTTCTCTGTGATTGTTTTACAACTGAAACCGGTAGGCTGGTAGCCAGGAAGGTCAGCTGGAGGATACAGGCTTGGCTGAAAGTATTTATAAATTAAGAAGTTCAGGAAAAATGATAGAACTTTGTTTGGTGATAGCTGAAGGGTTGCCAAATGTCTCTCTCCATCTTAAATGAGAGAGACTTGGGTTAAGCAAAATGGTTACCCTTCAAAACTGGGAAATAGAATTCAAATCTGAATTCATATACACTAATGATGGTGAACCTTTTAGAGACTGAGTGCCCAAAAACTGGCCCCGCCTTTGCTTCACCCCTGCCCCGCCCGCACCCTGTTTGCCCGCAAGGCCACTCACCGCCTCCAGGGCCCGCCGCAGATCGCTCAGGCAGCCCAGCAGCGCCATGGCGGCCACGCCCTCTGCCTGCGCCCCACAACATCAACTGTGCGCAATGGGGCATGAGGGCAGAGTCTTGTCTATGCTGCCTGGCTGCCATGTCCTTGGCTGTGCTGCTCCGCGTGGGCCACGCACGGGGGCGACTCTCCTCCAGGGGGGCTGCTGGTAAGGAGGGGGTCATGGGGGGATGGAAGGCTGGGGCAACGGCACGTGTGCCCACAGAGAGGGCTCCGAGTGCCGCCTCTGGCACGTGTGCTATAAGTTCGCCACCACTGATATACACCTTTCTTGCACTTGTCAGGATAGTGGATTGAGGACTCTGGGTGGTTTCTGCAGAACTATCGAATGTCCGATGCTGAATGGAAGAGAATGTCCTGGCTGGGATTAANATGCTGCAATGGCCGGAAGTTTGAAGAAATAGACATAAGCCGGTTTCTTAAATTGCTGTTATAGCTTTGAACAGTCACTAAACGAACTGTTGTAAGTCGAGGACTACCTGTATGGATTTTTCAGTTCACAGCATGATGGAGGGGAAGGCTGCAGGTTGAACTATTTTGCAACTGGGGGAATAATTATATAGTTTAACTTGTGTGTGTGTGTGTGTGTAGGAAGTTGGAGAGAAGCTGTGCGTAGCTGTAGTCTCTCACAAAACTATAACCCAGTGATGGCAAACCTTTTAGAGACCGAGTGCCCAAACTGCAACCCAAAACCCACTTATGCATCGTCGAGTGCCGGGTGGGTGTGGCCAATTGGATGGGTGTTGCCAATTGGGTGGGCGTGGCTGTGGTGGTAACAGCAGACTGGGTGAGACTAAAAAGTTCAATCAATTCCAACTTTGCAAGATCTTTTTTTTTTCCGCGAAATTGACTGAACCTTTTTTTTTTTTTTGGCACATGGTGGCGGAGGCCTAAAGCGAAAAGGTTTTATAAAACCCAGCTGAAGGCCTAGGACTGGGGCGACGGTGCACGTGCCCACAGAGAGGGCTCTGAGTGCCGCCTCTGGCACCCGTGCCATAGGTTCGCCACCACTGCTATAACCCATCTGTCAGGCCGCAGATGAATAGCTAGTGACGGCTGACAAAATGCAGATGGATTATTTTGCATTAATATTCTGGGAACTGCGTTTCCAGTGACCTCTTGCAAAATAGTTCTCCCCGAGCTCAGTCAGAGATGTGTCATTTATTTCCCTTTCCATTGACTTTCCCCAGAGGTTCGCTTGACCAAACTCTTGACTGAGATCTATGAACCTGTATATGTTGAGATCTCTGTTTCTTTTTTTGGGGGTGGGGGGGAGGAAATATTCCATGCTACATTTCTTCCACGTTGCATGAGAGTATAGGTCTCCAGGCTGCCATTTATTGATTTTTCTGTTTTTCCTTGGGGCAGCCCTTTGGAAATCTCCTATCGATTCAGGGGTATCGGTTGCATAGCCTCTTATCAGCTGCTGGGACAGGATACATTCTGATAAGGCACAATGTTAATTTATTTATTAGCACAGTGTTTGTTTGTTTATTTATTTATTAGTAATGTATTACATTTATTATAGCCGCACACTCCAGAGGACTTTGGATGGTTATCAGGATCCATCTAAGGGGCTGCCACGAAGAAGAGGGGGGTCATCCTATTCTCCAGTGTACCTGAAGGCAGGGCAAGAAGCAATGGATGGGAACTAAGCAAGGAGAGAACCAGCCTAGAACTAAGGAGAAAGTTCCTGACTGTTAGAACAATTAATCAGTGGAACAATTTGTCTCCAGAAGTTGTGGGAACTCCAGCAGTGGAGGTTTTATAAGATGAGATTGGACAGCCATTTGTCTGAAATGGTATAGAACAGGGGTAGGCAACCTTGGCTCTTTTATGACTCGTGGACTTCAACTCCCAGAATTCCTGAGCCAGCCATGCTGAGGGGAAAGGGAGAGTTTCCAAGCTGAGCCATGCTGGCTCAGGAATTCTGGGAGTTGAAGTCCACGAGTCATAAAAGAGCCAAGGTTGCCTACCCCTGGTATAGGGTCTCCTGCTTAAGCAGGGGGTTGGACTAGAAGACCTCCACGTTCCCTTCCAACTTTGTTATTCTGTTATAAAGTAAGTAAAAAACAATTAAAAGCACACGAGCCAAGACAGGGCAGACCAGACAAAAACCATCGTATCAATAAAAATGATAGGAATAGGATAAAAACCACAACAGGAGCTGCACAGGCTTCCTAACCTCAGGCCTGGGAAGACAGGTAGATGTTAAGAGCCTTCCTGAATCGCAGGAGAATTTATTTATTTATTTATTTATTTAATCCCATTTATACCCCGCCCTTCTCCCGAGGGACTCAGGGCGGCTTACAGGTAAATAAAAACAGTACAATACAATAAATATCTTTAAAAGCCAAATTAAAATATATATTAAATAACCTGTATTAAGTTTAATATTATAAAATCCCTTTAAAATCCCTATAAAATCCCCCCCTAGGCCAATCCCGCTTGATGGAAAAGCCATGTCTTGAGGGCCCGGCGGAAGGAGGGGAGATCCGGAATAATCCGGATCTCTGGGGGGAGTTCGTTCCACAGGGTGGGGGCTCCCACAGAGAAGGCCCTCCCCCTGGGGGTCGCCAGCCGATACTGTTTGGCCGACGGCACCCTGAGGAGGCCCGCTCTGTGGGAGCGTACCGGTCGATGGGAGGCAATCTGCGGCAGAAGACGGTCTCGAGTGTCATCTGTATTTGTAGGGCAATGTTGCTCTACCTGGGCAACCTTAAAATGAGTGGACTTCCAACTCCCAGAATTCTAGCTGGCTGGGGAATTCGGGGGGTTGAAGTCCACACACCTCAAAAGTTGCCAAGATTGGGAAACACTGCTCTAAGGGGATGCTCTTCCAGAGAGTAGGGACACTCACAGAACTATGCCCCATTCCGGAACCTTTCTTACCACTTAAGTCAGGGGTAGGCAACCTTGGCTCTCTTATGACTCGTGGACTTCAACTCCCAGAATTCCTGAGCCAGCATGGCTCAGCTTGGAAGCCTCTCCCTTTCCCCTCAGCATGGCTGGCTCAGGAATTCTGGGAGTTGAAGTCCACGAGTCATAAAAGAGCCAAGGTTGCCTACCCCTGCCTTAAGTGAATCACTGCAGTGGTTAAGTTAGTTAACACGATTGTTAAGTGAATCTGGCATGCCCCGTTGACTTTGCTTGTCAGGAGGTCACAAAAGGGGATCACATGACCCCGGGACACAGCAACCGTCATAAATATCAGCCAGTTGCCAAGCGTCCGAATTTTGATCACGTGTCCATAGGGATCCTGCGATGGTTGTGTGAAAAATGGTTATAAGCCACTTTTTTCAGTGTTGGCACTTTGAACGGTCATGAAATAAATGGTTGTAAGTCGAGGAATTGAAGTCTCGGAAAGAAACCATGAGGATGCATCTGTTGCTAAAAAGCTTGCGACTGTCCGCCTTGCTGAAAGTTGACCTTAGATCAAACATGTCAAACTCGCGACGTCGCGTGACGTCGTGCAATGTATCGGGATGGTTTTGCCATTGCTGGCAATGGGGTGGGCGCAGCTTCCGGATGACGCGTCCGGCCCGCGGGCCGACACCCCTGCCTTAGATGGTTCATAGGTTCTCCTACTGAAAACATTTTGCCCTTAGGAAATCATGCTGCTGAGATTATTCAGAAGAGAAGCTAAGGTACAAGTAGTTCTCAATTTAGGACCACAATTGGGATTGGAATTTTCATCATAAATCATTGTGATTGTAAGTTGAATCGGACCTGATTTTTACAGTTTTTGTTCAGTGAATCCAACTTCTCCAATGGGCTTATTTTTTATTTTTTTTTGCTGGAAATTGGGAGGAAAAAGGTGTGTGACCACAGGGGGGAGGGCTGCAACAGTTATAAGTGTGAATACAGGTTGTAAATCACTTTTTCCAAAGCTATTGTAACTTCAAACAGCTGTTAAGTTGAGAACTGCCTGTAATCTCTCTGCTCCAGCAGTGTCATTAGTGCACTACAATCTTATCTGTCGTGATGCATAAAAGTCTCACTGCCTCTGTTTCCTTTGTGTAATGTCATATTTGCAGGTCTCTGGTGCAGGTTTTCCACAGACCCGTCTTGAGACCCACTTGTTCAACATTGCCATCTTACCACCTAGCCTGGCGTCATCTGGGTCCTCCTCCAGATTTTCTTTTCATATGACGGTAAGTCCAGAATTACATTTCTCCAAGAATGCATCTTTCTATCTATCTATCTATCTATCTATCTATCTATCTATCTATCTATCTATCTATCTATCTATCTATCTATCTATCTATCTATCTATCATCTATCTATCTATCTATCTATCTATCTATCTATCTATCTATCTATCTATCTATCTATATCTTATCTATCTACGTATCTCTTATCTCTGTCTGTCTGTCTGTCTATCTATCTATCTGTATTAAATTTGGATTGCTAACAAAGAGTTAAAGGGAAGCTGATATAGCTATTTCGAACTCCTTAGCTCTCATCAGCCAGCTACACCCTTCTGAGATTCGAACCTGGGCTGCTTGCACTTTAGGCAGCTGTATTGACCTTTAAGCCACAGGCTCTGTCTCACTTTGTCAGCTGTGTCAGGGAGGAAAGAGACCCGGGGGAGGAGATATGTGTTGTTTTTTTTATAAAGGTTTTTATTGAGTTTTATGAGGTTGGGGAAGGGATAGGACCTGGATAGGGATTAAGGTTCAGGGTGGGGTTAGGATCGGGATTGGAGTTGGGACAGGATTGGGAACTGATGCAGCCAGTCGGCCCAAATATGGGAAGAAGAGATTGGGGCTGATACAGACAAAATAATTATTTTTGACACTAATACCCTCAAGCAAAATTGCCCGATGGCGCCCAGCACTTTAAAAAGTTGCAAATTCTTGGCCTTTCATGTAGCTTAGATTATAACCTGTATTTTTTATGGGAAACAAATGATCGCCCTGCTCTCTAGCCTTAACGACGAATGTGGGAATGGGAGAACAAAGGATAGGAGTCAACCCTTTTTTTTCCCAGTGAATGGCATTTGACTCTTGAAGAGGACTTTTGTAAGATTGCCTGCATAATTTAATGACCGGGGTTCAGATCCACCCTAAGCCATGAAGCTCAAGGTGACTTTGGATCTGTTCTTCTGTCTCAGCCCAACCTACTCACAAAATTGTTGCCTTGAGCTGATGGACGGATTGTTTGTTGTTATTTATTTATTTGTAAAATTTATTACCCACCCATCTTTGTTGTTGTTGTTGTTAAGTTGCGAAGTCGTGTCCAACCCATCGCGACCCCATGGACAACGTTCCTCCAGGCCTTCCTGTCCTCTACCATCTTCTGGAGTCCATTTAAGCTCACGCCTACTGCTTCAGTGACTCCATCCAGCCACCTCATTCTCTGTCGTCCCCTTCTTCTATTGCCCTCAATCTTTCCCAGCATTAGGCCCTTCTCCAGTGAGTCCTTCCTTCTCATTAGGTGGCCAAAGTACTTGAGTTTCAACTTCAGGATCTGGCCTTCTAAAGAGCAGTCGGGGTTGATCTCCTCTAGGACTGACCGGTTTGATCACCTTGCAGTCCAAGGGACTCGCAGGAGTCTTCTCCAGCACCGTAGTTCAAATGCCTCAATTCTTTGGCGCTCAGCCTTTCTTATGGTCCAACTTTCACAGCCATACATTGCAACTGGGCCATACAGTAACTGTGGGCAGCGTATCCCAAAGGTGTTTTTCCCCCGAGGCAGCTAGACTTTCTTGTTTTTTCTTTGAAGACATTTCGCTTCTCAGTCATCCAGATCATGGTTGTCCCAAAGGTGCTTTTTCAAGAAGCAACTGGACTTCCTTCTTCACAAAATGGAATCAGTTTGTTCTCCGCATACCTACGTAGTTTAATTTAGGGCCATTTAATAGGGTCAGGGAATCCAGATTCTGGGCCCACTGGCAGAACCAGGTCTTCAACGCCGTCTGAAAGTGGGTTAGAGTGGGGACCAGTCTAATCTCTGGGGGAATGATGTTCCAGAGAGAGGGAGCCACCACGGAGAAGGCCCTTCTTTTGGGTCCTGCAGATGTATCTCCTTAGGGGACAGGATCCGCAACATTCCTTGCCTCCCCGCTCTAGTGGGTCGGGTAGATGTGACCGGCAAGAGACGGTCCCTGTTCTGTCCCAGCCTATGTGAATCCTTGTTAACTCACAAGGACAAACCTCTCTTTTAACAAATAGGCTGGAAATGCAGGAAAAACAAACCCCTTTTATCAATTATGTACAGACCTGCAAAATGTCCCAAAAGCAAAGGCAAACAAAACACGATGCAAACAGAGAATTGTCCAAAGGCAAACAGAACACGATTCAAATGGAGAATTGTCCAAAGGCAAACGGAGAATTGTTCATAGGCAAGGCAAACAGAACATGATTCCATGAAACTTGAGTCCTTTGCAAACAGTTGCCCTCAGCAACCAGCACCGCCCACATCTTCCCTTTTTATTATGCAGCCCCAAGGCGTGGCTTCTCAATGCCTTCTCCTCCTCCCTTGGAGTCGACACATTGCCTCCCTCTGTCCTGCTCTTGTTGCCTCTCTGCGTTTGCGAGCGTCTATGATGTCTTCCAGCTGTGAGTCCTCAGAGTCTGACTCAGCTTCCCCGCACAGCTGAGTCTCAGCCTTAGCACGAGTGGAGGGGCCGGGCTCTTCATCAGAGTATAAGTCCTGGAGCTCATCAGAGCCTTCCTCCGACTCTGATGGCTCTCCAGGCCCCTCCTCCTCCTCCTCTGATTCCCCGGACTCAGCTGCCGGGTCCGCTGGCTGGCACGGAATCACAACAGTCCCTCAGATAATCTTCCTCCCAGTTTAACCCCCCAGCCTAGCCCAATGATTGGGGAAGGGCCAGGTCTTCACAGTCAGGATTCCCGGAGGAAAAACTGAGTATAAAGTACACATGCATTTGGTAAATATCTATCTTTCAGGCACTGGAAGATCGTGTGACGCCTATTCGACCGCATCACCTCCCTTTTGTCAACTCGCAAACTCCAAGTGAAGAAATCACGTACAACGTGACTGTACCCTTGCCTCCAGATCAAGGCAAGATCATTTCATATAGATTAAAAAAATGTTTTTCTGTGATTGTTCTACAACTGAAACCGGTAGGCTGGTAGCCAGGAAGGTCAGCTGGAGGATACAGGCTTGGCTGAAAGTATTTATAAATTAAGAAGTTCAGGAAAAATGATAGAACTTTGTTTGGTGATAGCTGAAGGGTTGCCAAATGTCTCTCTCCATCTTAAATGAGAGAGACTTGGGTTAAGCAAAATGGTTACCCTTCAAAACTGGGAAATAGAATTCAAATCTGAATTCATATACACTAATGATGGTGAACCTTTTAGAGACTGAGTGCCCAAAAACTGGCCCCGCCTTTGCTCCACCCCTGCCCCGCCCGCACCCTGCTTGCCCGCAAGGCCACTCACCGCCTCCAGGGCCCGCCGCAGATCGCTCAGGCAGCCCAGCAGCGCCATGGCGGCCACGCCCTCTGCCTGCGCCCCACAACATCAACTGTGCGCAATGGGGCATGAGGGCAGAGTCTTGTCTATGCTGCCTGGCTGCCATGTCCTTGGCTGTGCTGCTCCGCGTGGGCCACGCACGGGGGCGACTCTCCTCCAGGGGGGCTGCTGGTAAGGAGGGGGTCATGGGGGGAGGGAAGGCTGGGGCAACGGCACGTGTGCCCACAGAGAGGGCTCCGAGTGCCGCCTCTGGCACGTGTGCTATAAGTTCGCCACCACTGATATACACCTTTCTTGCACTTGTCAGGATAGTGGATTGAGGACTCTGGGTGGTTTCTGCAGAACTATCGAATGTCCGATGCTGAATGGAAGAGAATGTCCTGGCTGGGATTAAAATCTGAACTGGGGAAGAATTGCAGGACAGAATGTTCATATTATGTTTGAAGCAAGCTTTACAAGCTCCCAAGACTCATATTTACAAGCTCCATAATAGAGATTGCAGTGGCCATGAGCACTGCAAGTCTTGAGTTTTGATTAGTCCCATATAAAATCCACAGAAATCCTGACTGGTTAATCAGAAACTAGCCAGCCACGTTTATCAACGAATGTTAAGCAAGATGGAAGGAATGGCTGGTTAGCGAATGCAGGTTTAAGTACGTTAAGTATGTTATGTGGACAAAGCCACTCTGACGTTATGGACGTTATGGAAGAACATAACTGCAGTTTTATGGAAAGCACGTTTGTTAGAATTCATGTATAATATTTGACTACTGTATTTATTTACCTAACAATTATAGATTGTTTATAGTCTCTTGAGACTAACTAAGAAACAAATAAATTCTCTGTCCACTGCAACAGGTATGGTGGAGCACAGGGACAAACCATCCATCCCAGTAGCCTCTTTTACCCAAACTGACATCAACAATGGCAAAATTGTCTACCGTCCACCTAGTGCTGGATCACATATTAGGGAGCTGATGGAATTCTCCTTTGCTGGTAAGAATTTAATCCACTGATTAGCACTCATTCCTAGATTCCCATCCATAACTCCCTAACTTTCTATAAACCAGTGTTTCTCAGCAACTTTAAAGGTGAGTGGGGGTCAATTAGCTGGTTGGGGAATTCCACACACATCGTGAAGTTGCCGAGATTGAGAAACACTGATCTTGTAGACCAGAGGTCCCCAACCTTTTGAGTACCAGGGACCGGTTCTGTGAAGAGAGGTTTTTCCACAGACCGGAGGGTGCGTGGTTTTGTGTGCTGCCTGCATCCCATGGATGGGGCTTTGCTTGTTTGTGTGGACCGGTTGCTGGCATGCCGCGGCCCGGTGCCGGTCCACGGACCAGGGGTTGGGGGACCCCGTCCTAGACAATGGTGGGAATGTTGAGCAATAGAGTTTAGCAATATTTGAAGGGTCTGAAATCCCAGCCATAAACAAAGCCAATGAACCACATGCTGGGTCAAATGCCTACTAAGAATCTGTGACATTAAAAAAAAATTTTTTTGCCAATAAAGTATGTTTTTCACCCTCAAAACAAAGCATTATGATGTGGGTAAATGAGGTGGGAATATGTTATGGCAGGAGTAGGCAACCTTGGCTCTTTTATGACTCGTGGACTTCAACTCCCAGAATTCCTGAGCCAGCATGGCTCAGCTTGGAAACCTCTCCTTTTCCCCTCAACATGGCTGGCTCAGGAATTCTGGGAGTTGAAGTCCACGAGTCATAAAAGAGCCAAGGTTGCCTACCCCTGTGTTATGGTTTTACCCTAGAGATATCACAGAAATATTATTCAGATACATATTTTTTCAGAGATGCTTGGTGAATCCAGAACATGATGCTTCCATTGGCCCTTCTCTTTGCTTTCAAAGTTTTTGCCCAGTCCAATATCCTGAAATTTAGGACTCCACAAAAGGAAATAACGAAGTACGGTTAAACACCAGCATCTTTGTGACATGGCACTCCATTCCAGTTTGTTGGGTTAATTTTCATTCCGCCCGCAGAGCAGCCCCCTCATAATTTCCCCATTCTGTCTAATATATGGCCATCAGTGATTTGTGGGGCCGCGTGTGTGTTTCACAATGAAATTTTACAGCAATTATACCACTAATCATCAGATTAGTATCAGTTCATGAATTAATATGAACTCATGAAATTCCCTGGGCTCCTATCAGATTGGCTGCACCATTAGGCATTGCTTAGAAGTTGTACCTTAGATGCAATTACGGTCCAAACAGCTGTTATTTCTACATCTGCAAAAAGAAGCAAACATACAAAGCAATCTTCCAATAGGAACTTGCCAGCCTTTATCAGGAAAAATGCAACCTGCTGTGCTTAGCCTCTTAGCACAGAAACGGGGTGCATAATTTATCAAAACGAATGAGAGCTGTACCAAAACAATCTGCCAAAAGCTGAAAGCCAGGCATTTTTCAAAAGAACTCCTTTCCCCCCCCACATTTTAGAGACGTATGTTGTGTCAGCCTTTGTTATAAACAGGTCTAAAGTATTCAATCAGAACAGAGTTGGAAGGGACCTTGGAGGTCTTGTAGCCCAACTTCCAGCTCGAGGTACTTAAAAAGAGTATTTTTTTTCTTGTTAAAATTCTGGATTCTTTTTAAATAAGATCCCCAAAGATCCTGAAGCTTGGACCAGAACTGCATTTTATCTCCTGTCTTCTCATCTTGGTTAAGGATAGTATACCAAACTAGAAGAATAGGATGGGATGGGATGGGATAGAGAATAGAATAGAATAGAATAGAATAGAATAGAATAGAATAGAATAGAATAGAATAGAATAGAATAGAATAGAATAGAATATAGAAAATTAAGAATTAGGAATAGAATAGAATAGAATAGAACTGGAAGGGACCTTGGAGGTCTTCTAGTCCAACCCCCTTCTCAGGCAGGAAACCCTTTTTACCATTTCAGACAAATGGTTAACTACAGGTAGTCCTTGACTTACAACCATTTGACCACTCAAAGTTGCAACAGCACTGGAAAAAGTGACTTACAATGGTGCTCATACTTACAACTGTTGCTGCATCCCCATCATCACATGATCATATTTTGGGCAGTTGGCCATCCGCATATAGTCACAACAGTTGCGGCGTCCCAGAGTCATATGATCACCATTTGTGGACCCACTCAGCCATCTTCCAGCAAGCAAAGTCAATGGGGGAAGCCAGGTTTGCTTAATGACTTGCTGATACGTTTAACAACTGCAGTGGTTTGTTTATCAATGGTGGCCCAAAAAAAAAAAGGCCATAAAAATTGGACGAGCTCAACAACTGCCTTGCTTAACGGTGGGAAATCCTGGTCCTCATTGGGGTGGTAAATTGAGGAACTTGCAGTCAAGTTTATTTCATCAGAAGCATCCCATAAGCCGCGTTCTCCATTTTGAGCGGTGCAAATCCTTCAAAACTCATTTTGAAAAATATTATGCCTTTTTGTGATATTCCAATATGTCACCTTATTCTACCTAACGGATCTGGGTTACTCAAGAGTTAGCATCACTGATGTAGTCCTAAAGGCCTTGAAACTCCAAAGCCAGTGCTAAAACACTCCTCTTTGTAAAAAAAAAAAAAACTTTGTGAAAAACTTGGTGGAAGCAAGAGAGAGAGAAAGGCAGAGAAGGTGTTTATTAACGGGGCAGATCGATTATATAAAACTCTAAGGAAGAATAGAAATAGATCTTTAGGGACTCTTTTATCCAGCTTCTCTTATCAAGGACTTTTAACCGGAAATCCAGCTAGAGAGCTTAAAACTGTACAGGAAGAGATGGTTTATTGGCCATCTCAACATTGTCCTGGTTGATTTCTGTCTTTCCAGTGAACCAGGCAGTAAACATTGAATTTGGAAGTGTGAATGGCAACACTTGTGTTCCATCACTGGACCGAGTAACATTGCTTTGTTTTGGAGAGGCAGAAGAATTTCTAGTTCTGCGACCTTCTCTAACTCATGGAGGCCTACCGCATTTTGCTTCAAAATAAAATACCCAAATAGAAAACTATTTTTCTTGTCTATTTTAAGACAAACTATTTTGTCTTAATTATCCTAAAAATGGTGGTCCAATGTAGTCAGTATTTCCAAATACAGTTGGACTTGTGTCTTTCCCCTTCCACAAATTCTTTGTGGCATCATACCTGCAGTGGTTCAGTTTCGTTTGTATTGTACGATTCCAGATGCTGCAAACAATCGTGTTTTCCTAATCTCTTGATCTCCTCTAGGTCTTCCAGAATCGATTAACTTTCGTTTTACAGGTATGTGGATATTTTGTGGTATTTATACTTCGTTCTACCTGTTTTGAAGACCTTATGACCCACCCAATAAACGTGAAATATAGTTTTGAAATAGGAGACTTGGTGATAGGTCAAACACTGGGGGAAGTCCTTGGTGCTCTCTAAGCTTATTTATTTGCTTTCATTTCATGACCCAACTAGATAATATTTTATTTATTTTTTTATCCCACCATTATTATTTCTATAAATCATTCAAGGCAGGAAACATACCTAATACTCCTTCCTCCTGTTATTTTTCCCCACAAAATAAGGGAGGTGAATTGAGCTGGAAGAGAGTGACTGGCTCAAAGTTACCCATCCGTTTTTTGTGCCTAAGGTGGGACTAGAACTCATCATCTCCTGGTGATTGACTCAAAGTCACCCAGCTGCCTTTCATGTCTAAAGTGGAACTAGAATTCACCATCTCCTGGTGATTGGCCCAAAGTCGCCCAGTCAGCTTTCATACCTAAGGCGAGACTAGAACTCACCGTCTCCTGGTGATTGACTCAAAGTCACCCAGCTGCCTTTCATGCCTAAAGTGGAACTAGAACTCACCATCTCCTGGTGATTGACTCAAAGTCACCCAGCCAGCTTTCATGCCTAGAGTGGAACTAGAACTCACCATCTCCTGGTGATTCGCCCAAAGTCACCCAGCCAGCTTTCATGCCTAAGGCGGGACTAGAACTCACCGTCTCCTGGTGATTGGCCCAAAGTCACCCAGCTGCCTTTCATGCCTAAGACGGGACTAGAACTCAACGTCTCCTGGTGATTGACTCAAAGTCACCCAGCTGCCTTTCATGCCTAAGGCAGGACTAGAACTCACCATCTCCTGGTGATTGGCCCAAAGTCACCCAGCTAGCTTTCATACCTAAGGCGGGACTAGAACTCACAATCTGCTAGTGATTACCCCACAGTCAGCCAGCCAGCTATTATTTTCTAAGGCAGGACTAGAACTCACCATTTCCCGGCCTTAACCACCAATTCAGTATAATGAAACATCTGCAAGCAAACAACCAAACTCAGAGAGCACCAAGGGCTCCAAAGTTACATATATTCTCTTCTACTAGATCAAACACTTTCAAGCAGCTGCAAAATTATTGGTGACAATAATTTGGGGGATGCTGGAGAGTTTGCAAACAAACCCCACTTTTTTTTTTTTCATCTGGATTTTTTTCTTCTTCTCAGCTTCTTAGATGCATCCATCTACGTCAGGCATGTCAAATGGCCGGCTTGCCGGCCGGATGTATCCTGTTGAAACCACGTCCATCCCATTGCCGGCAATGGGGAAAAAGTCGCGATACATCACGCGACGTCACGTGACATCGCGAGTTTGACATGGCTGATCTAAGTCAAGAAGACTATAAAAAAAAATTATTGAAACTTTCACCAGTTCTGCTGATTCAAGGGAATGCTTCATCCTTCCTTGCCTGCTTCATTCCTCTAGCACAGGGGTAGGTAACCTTGGCTCTTTTATGACTCGTGGACTTCAATTCCCAGAATTCCTGAGTCAGCTATGCAGTTGAAGTCCACGAGTCATAAAAGAGCCAAGGTTGCCTACCCCTGCTCTAGCAGTTCTCTCAGCTTTCCCCTCCCCTTGCTACTATTCATCTAAGGCAGTGGTTCTCAACCTTTTTAATGCCGCGACCCCAACCTGTCGTAAGTCGAGGACTAAACCGGTCGTAAGTCGAGGACTAAACCGGTCGTAAGTCGAGGACTAAACCGGTCGTAAGTCAAGGACTTTCCCTGCCTGGGAGTGCCGCGCATGCGTGGTTCCGCCCCTTGCACCGGCCGAGGCATAGCTGGCAAGCAGCAGAGACGGAGCAGGCCGACCACCAGCTGGCCCAGCCCAAGGGAGGTAAGGCACCCGCCGGAAAAAGGGAAAAAAATGGCAGACAAAAAAAAATGGCGGACAAAAAAAATGGCGGACAAAAAAAATGGCAGACAGCCTTGCTTGGCGACCCCCATGAAATGGTCGATCGACCCCAAATGGGGTCCCGACACACAGGTTGAGAACCACTGATCTAAGGCATAGGAATATTTTTTTAAAAAAGGCTCCTTATTCTTGCCCCACCTTTGTAATGATATAAGACTGCTTTTCTAACTTGGCAAGTTTAAAATGTGTGGACTTCAGCTCCCAGAATTCCGCAGCCAGCACTGTGGCTGAAGAATTCTGGGAGTTGAAGTCCACACATCTTAAACTTGCCAACTTGGAAAAACTCTGATATAAAGAGATGTTCCCCTTTTCTTCTCTTCTAGATGCATTGCATCATAGATGAAGGCTAAGCATCATATTTTTGCCTACTTTTGCGTATTGAGTAGCAAAGCTGATTCTGGACTTCGATCTGCCGCCCCCACGATACATAAATAATTTTCTCACAGACAGTTTGTGCGTGGCAGAGATGGGAATGGCAAATGCTGGATATGGAATGAGTTAAAATATAATAGAACTTTTTAAAACAATAATAATGTTGTTGGGAAGGAAGACTGAAAGACAGAGTCATATTTTAGGTGCCCGGGGACCCTTTCATTGATCCCATTTCCACAACATGCTTACCTTGTTTAAGGGAGGAGAATTAGTGTATTGTGGGACCCCCTAACCTAACTCAGCTGAGCCTGGGAATGTTGTTGTGAGTGGTTTTGCCTAGAGCACCTTTAACGTTATTGGGTGTAATGGAATGTGAGAATGGAAGTAGGAGGTGCTACCTAGAGAATGATCAGATAAATAGAGAAGGAGCTTGGAACTGAATAAGAGGCAGAGAAAGAAACATGGAAAAGATCCATCCTAACTTATCAGGAGGTAAAAAGTAATGGTGTGAGATTTGTACTTTCAGACTTGGAAGATTCTTTTAATATATCCTTATAATAAAGTAGAATCAGTTCATCTTATTATGTCTCCTGTCTGGTCTACCTGGGAAGGCTTGACATTGAGACTTTACGAGTCAAGCCCAACCTTTTAGGGGTTCGCATCCGATCTTTCACATCCACATAAGGAAGGAGTAATTTTAAGCCTGATTCTTTTATGCAACATATTCACTCCAGCAATTCCTTTTAGTGTCCGATGGAGAACATATAAGTCCTGAGATGGTGTTTACCATCCACTTGCTTTCCACTGATGAAGAGCCTCCATTGTTCCAGATTACTGCTCCGGTGCTTGAGGTCAGCCAAGGAGGCAGAGCTGCTATTGGTAAGGAGAAAAGACTGGTTCATCAAGGGGCTTCAGGTACACACTAGGCTATATTTATAATTCATAGCAGTAGCAGTTCAATTAGGGGACTGCCCGTAAATTATCTGGCACCAGTCCAGGAACCAAATGTTCAGTAGAGGAATTAAACATCGATAAAAGGGTCTGGGAACGCACTTTGCTGTGGAGATCAGTGACGAAAGGAAGACATAAAATGTAATTGAAGAAATTCACCTGGAAACCATGCATAGGATCCTTCTGAGTTTGAATCCTTTTGTGTGGAATCTTAATGGGTGATCTGGCCCTTACCTACGGTAGTTTTTGCTTCAAAAGGTGAGGAAGGTAATATTTAAACAGAAATATATCAACCAATGCAACCCTGTTCAGTTTCCCAAAGGGAATATTCGACCTATGGTTTCAATTTCCAATGTGTGTATAGGGCAGGGGTAGGCAACCTTGGCTCTTTTATGACTCATGGACTTCAACTCCCAGAATTCCTGAGCCAGCATGGCTCAGCTTGGAAACCTCTCCCTTTCCCCTCAGCATGGCTGGCTCAGGAATTCTGGGAGTTGAAGTCCACAAGTCATAAAAGAGCCAAGGTTGCCTACCCCTGGTATAGTGATTTTGTATAGTGGCATTCATCAGGAAATCTGCCCTTCTACCAGTAATCCTCAACTTAACAGCCATAATGGTACCTACCCATAACAATCTTAAGCCAGAATCGCTTAAGTGGGTCACTTAAAGTGGGTCACCCCCATGAACGACCCAATTTTACATTTTTTTTCTTTTTTTAGTGGTTTTTAAGCAAATATTGCGGGTGCTAAGCGAACCCATTATTTGCTAAAACCCAGAAATGCTGGTTGTAAAAAATGTGGTCAGATAACGGTGGGAAGTTGCAAACAGCCGTAAATGTGGACTGGCTGCCAAGCACCCAAAATGTAGTCACATGGTCACAGGGGTTGGGTAGGCGGTTGTCGGATTTTGCAACCAGGTTGTAAGTAACTTTTAGGGGGAATCTGTCATAATTTCAAAACAGTCGCTAAGCGAGCGGCCATAAGTTGAGGACCTACCTGTACTGTTGCTGAAGAGCGCACACCTGGGCGTTTTGATCAGTGTTAGGATCCAAGTACAGGTAGTCCTCAACATATGACCACAATTGAACCCAAAATTTCTGTTGTTAAGTAAGACATTTGTTAAGTGAGTTTGGCCCCATTTTATGATTTTTCTCGCCATAGCTGTTAAGTGACTCATTGCAGTTGATAAGTGAGTAACTCGGTTGTTAAATGAACCTGGCTTCCCCAGACTGGACAGGCCATTTGTCTGAAATGATATAGGGTTTCCTGCCTGAGCAGAGGATTGGACTAGATGACCTCCAAGGTCCCTTCCAACTTTATTATGATTACTATTATTGATCATTGCACAGTCAGCCAGAGATGTTCAGACTGAATTTGGCATTTTTATCTACCTCTCGAGTCCTTACCAAGGACTTGGGATAGCCAGATGTGGATGTTTGATGGTATTACAGATCTCTTCACAGGATGGAAGCTGTTCCTAGAAAGACTGCCTTTTGCAATTGACTAATGGCGAATTTGTCAATGCCAATGGTGTTCAAGTGGTGCTCCAGTTGGTATTATTGGTACTACGTTATAATGATGATGATGATGATAATAATAAAAATAATAAAAATAAAAATAAAAATAATAAAAATGATAAAGTTAAAGTGCTCTGGGACTTCAGAATTCAAACAGACAAGCACCTGCAACATAACACCCCGGACTTAACAATTGTCGAAAGACAAAAAAGTCTGGATCGTGGACGTGGCAGTGCCTGGAAACAGCAGAATAGACGAGAAAGAACTGGAGAAGATAACAAAATACAAAGACCTACAAATAGAAATAGAAAGACTGTGGCAAAGGCAAGCAAGGGTAGTACCAATAGTAATAGGCGCCTTGGGTGCAATCCCAAAACAACTGGAGCACCACTTGAACCCCATTGGCATTGACAAATTCGCTATTAGTCAATTGCAAAAGGCGGCCTTACTAGGAAGTGCTTCCATCCTGCGACGATATCTGTAATACCATCAAACTTCCACATCTGCCTATCCCAGGTCCTTGGGAACGACTCGATAGGTAGACAAAAATGCCAAATGCAGTCTGAACATCTGGCTGACTGTGATTAATAATAATAATAATAATAATAATAATAATAATAATAATATTGACTGCTTGTGAGAAAGTCACAAAAGGGGATCGCATGACCTTGGGAACAGAGCAACGGTCATAAATATGAACCCATTGCAAGCCTTGAATTTTGATCACATGATCCCGGGGAGGCTGCAAAGGGCGTAAGGGTGAAAAACGGTCGTGGTTCGCATTTTTCAGTGCTGTCATAACTTTGAACGGTCACTAAATGAACTGTTGTAACCGTATTCTAATGCCTCAAACACCCGAAGGGCCACTGACTGCCTTTCCTCTGCTGTCACCTGCTTATAAACTGCAGCCCACTTGGCGATTAGAGGTTAAACGTCTAAATATATTTTCTTTCTTCCCTTCTGTATTTGGATGCTTTAAGGAATCAAACTGACGTTGAGTGATGCGCCCGTTGCCGCTGAGGATCTCTTCTTTGAAGTGGTACAGCCTCCTCACCATGGAGTTCTACTCAAACACAGCTCCGGATTCCCAGTCCACATGACCACCGGTATGCTTGGGGGTGCGGGGGAAGTTTCTCATCCCGTTGTTTTGTCTGTGATCTTTCACGTTACGAAGAAGAAGCAAGCATCCACTAAAAGGCAAAATGAATGCTTGCAGGTAGTCCTTGCTTGATGACTATGATTACTAAGCATCACCTTACCGCAGGGGTCTTCAAACTCTGCCCTTTTATGACTTGTGGACTTCAACTCCCAGAATTCTGGGAGTCGAAGTCCACAAGTCATAAAAGGGCCAAGTTTGAAGACCCCTGCCTTACCGTAACGGGCTTACTTCTGTTGTGGTTGTTAAAGTGAGTCACCCACAGGTCATTGAGCGAGACAGCACATGATCACGACTTGTGATTTTTACTGCCGGCTTCTCCGTTGACTCGGTTTGTTATGAAGCATGCAAATGACAATCACAAGTCGGCAGGATTCTGCAACCACCACAAATGTGAGGATTGGTGGTAAAGTTACTTTTTCAGCCACTGTTGTAATGTTTGCTAAACAGGATGGTCCTTAAGCATGCGCTACCTGTATTTTGTTGCAAATAATAATAATAATAATAATAATAATAATAATAATAATAATAAAAATGTTGGGTGGGACCTTGGAGGTCATCTACTCCAACCCCCTGCTCAGGCAGATAACCCTATACCATTTCAGACAAATGGCTGTCCAGTCTCTTCTTAAAAACTTCCAGTGTTGGAGCATTCACTGCTTCTGGAGGCAGGTTGTTTCACTGGTTAATTGTATCTGCTCAGTTCCATGAATGAAGCGAGATTCTTCTCAATTGTTAGCCATTAAAACAGAATTTCTGAACTACCAAGGAAAATCTTTTCTTGTCCATAAATTCATTCCAGTCTTGAATGAAATCGGTGCTTCCTCATTTCACTCGGGGTCACTATAAAGAGTACTGTTCCTTGGACCGAGGCACGTTTCTATATTTACTTAGGGGGATTTATCTTAATGTTACGTGAAGGAGAAAATTCTGATTTTAGCTTTTCTTTCTGGGAAGGCGACAGTTTCACCTACGAGGAAGTCACCAGGAACTACTTGCATTATCTCCATGATGGCTCATCCTCAGAAGAAGACAGCGTGGAAATTTCAGTGACCGATGGCACCACCAAAGACGCCATTTTGCTCAAGGTGGAAGTAACCCCAGTCAACGTCAATGGGCCAAGGCTGGATCCGAGCTGCTCGCTGAGTATCACTGTGGCTGGCAAAAGCTCTGCAATCATCACTCGATCCCACTTTGCTTATACTGTAAGCATCTGATCTATTTTTTGTTTGTTTGTTTGATAGCTCAGCTTTAATCTGTATCTTAGTATATTAATACCTTGGGTGGGTTCAAAGCAGTCGCAGAGTTAAGGAGATAGAAAATGTAGGGTTGACCATTTAGACAGAAGGAAAGGGGAGGAGCCAAAGGAAACCACCTGGTTTGGTCTTGGGTTTTGTGCAAAATTCAGTTTTGAGTGATCAGGTCAAAACTTGGCAATTGAAGATCCAAGGGAATCCTAAATTCAGAGCATTTTCTGAAACTGATGTTTTTGTTTTTGAATTATAAAGCTCAGAGCAGCTTCGAAAATGACATTTTTCTATGTCCCTGACAAATAACAAGAGCTGCTGGTGATCATATGGCTGAAGACAACTTCTTTGTGACTCTGGACAGACTCTGGTGTAAGACAGCCCATGTCTTGTAAAGTTCTGGGGTCAAAAATTCTTTTGTTAAAATGACATAATAACAATAGTAATAATAAAGTTGGAAGGGACCTTGGAGGTCATCGAGTCCAACCCCCTGCTCAGGCAGGAAACCCTACACCATTTCAGACAAATGGCTGTCCAGTCTCTTCTTAAAAACTTCCAGTGTTGAAGCATTCACCGCTTCTGGAGGCAGGTTGTTCCACTGGTTAATTGTTCTCACTGTCAGGAAGTTTCTCCTTAGTTCTAGGTTGCTTTTCTCTTTGATTAGTTTCCACCCGTTGCTTCTTGTCCTGCCTCTAGGCGCTTTGGAGAATAATAATAATAAAGTTGGAAGGCACCTTGGAGGTCATCTAGTCCAACCCCCTGCTCAGGCAGGAAACCCTATACCATTTCAGACATGCCCAGTCTCTTTAAAACATCCAGTGTTGGAGCATTCACTGCTTCTGGAGGCAGGTTGTTCCACTGGTTAATTGTTCTAACTGTCAGGAAGTTCTCATGACTTCTCCCTTCATCAAACAAGCAGAGTTGGAAAGGACCTGGAGGCTAAACTACACTTTAGCTACAATAGAAACAACTGCAGTATCTTGATACAGAGGCTCTCTAGAGTAGACTGTACATAACCTTTTATGGGTAACCAACTATTCGTGAAAGCATTTTTATGGCTCGAATGCATCTACTATTAATCAAGGTTTTTTTACGTTGTGATCCGGTACTAGGATACTAGGAGAAAACAAATTGGCTAATATATATTTCCGTATAATTAGCTGATAGTTCAACTACTTGCAAACTTAGCCAGTTGGATTAATTCAGTAAAACGTGATTTATTTGTGATGGGCTGAGACCATTTTAGCTTTTCCTGGTTATTTTCATTCCTTGATTCTAATCCTGCTCTTTCACATTTTCGCTTTCTAAAACATTCCAAGAGTCTGAAAAATACCACAATGCTGCTTTTTACTTATCTACAGGTAGTCCTTGACTTACGAGCCCCAGATTTTTATTGCTAAGCGAGACAGTTGTTAAGTGAATTAAGTAAGCCGCTTCTTAAGTGAATCTGGCTTCTGTATTGACTTTGTTTGTCAGAAGGGTTGCAAAAGATGATCCCAGGATATTGCAACTGTCATAAATATGAGTCAGTTGCCAAGGGTCTGAATTTTGATCACATGACCATGGGGATGCTGCAGTGGTCGTAAGCGTGAAAAGTTTTAGTGCCGTTGTAACTTCAAATGTTCCCTAAACGATCTGTTATAAGTCAAGGACGACCTGTACCTGCTCAACATACTGAATTCTTTTGGTTCCTGAGTCGTTTTCTTAACCTTGCTTGATCTTACATAGCTAAGCACCCACCATTCACTGTCCTTAACAGAAGTAGATACAGTAGTGGCCAAAATTGTGGAAACCTTTTGGGAAAAGTGTATTTTTGAGGTTTGATGGCTAATAACACTACTTTTTTTTGGAGTAGTACCATAAAATTATATATCAATGGAAAGATAATTTAATCAAGAATGTAATACAACAAAGTTTGTTCAATTATCTGTACTGTATTCTATGAAAAGGTATAGCCAAAGAAGCAGAAAAAGGAAGCAGAACTTGCTTAGGTTGATATCAGGTAGCTTTCCTTCCTCTGATTGTAGCCAATGAGCATGAGTGTTTAGAGAGCCAGTCAGGTATCATCTTGTTTTGGCAATGAGCTAATCAGATCACAGTAGGATTAAGTTATTGACCTCATGTATTGAAGCTGAGAGGAGGACATTTGTCAGTGTGTTATGTGATGGCTATCAAGTTGGTTGGGTTTTTTTGCGTTCTTTCATCGAGGGAGCTTGTAAAACGTAATAAAATTAAAGTAATGGTGCAAAGAGTTGACTGGTTGCCCAGAAAGCGATGCAAAATAGTATTATTAAATGAACAAGGCTACAGTTATAAAGAAATTAGAAAAAAAATTCGTGGAAACTTAACCAAAGGTGGCATTTCTACTGTACACTTTCCCCAAAAGGTTTCCACAATTTTGGCCACTACTGTAAATGCACCTAATACAGGATCAAGCAATAATTTCCCAGCACTATTTTTCTATTAAGATAGCACAGGATTCTACACACTTTCTATGGACCACATAATACTGCTGACTCACCTTTATCTTTCCTTACTGTTATATTTAAAATGAGGATAATAAAATCTCAGGAATAAATTTCTGGGTCTGAGTGTGATGGATGGAGCCTGGAGGAAGACTGGAGGAATTGTTCATTTTTTAAAATTTATATTAATCATCAAATATCAATCATTATCAAAGAGTGCTTGACCACAGAATGCACTATAGCACAACCAACCCAGTAATGAAAAAGATACTACCATACATCAAAAATATCTCTGAAACAAGCAACAGACTGTTTGAATCACACAGCATCACTATAGCACACAAAGCAAAACATTTTAAGTTAACCAAAAGACCTAGTAGCTCAAGAAAAAAACAAAACAGGAGTTATCTAGATTCTAGAACATATTATATAAAGACAGTAACAGCCACTATGTAGGATAGGCAGGCAGGGCACTAACAGAATAGCAGAGTTGGAAGGGACCTTGTAGGTCATCTAGACCAACCCCCCCACCCAGCAGAAGACCCACCTACACCTTTTCTGACAGATGGCTGTCCAGTCTCTTCTTGAAAGCTTCCAGTGAGGAAGCTCCCACAACTTCTGAAGGAAATCTGTTCCATTGGTTGATTGTTCTAACTGTCAGGAAATTTCTCCTCATTTCTAGGTTGAATCTCTCCTTGATCATTTTCCATCCGTTATTCCTTGTCTGGCCTTCAGGTGCTTTGGAAAATAGGTTGACCCCCCTCCTCTCTGTGACAGGCCCTCAAATATTGGAAGACTGCTATCATGTCTCCCCTGGTCCTTCTCTTCACTAGACAAGCCATGCCCAGTTCCTATAACCGTTCTTCATGTGTGCATCCATGAACTGGCAGTCAGCACACACTGAAAACTCCTGAATCTCACAACATATGGACAGATTTGACCATAATTTCAACTGGGAAACTATAAGCATTATAGTTTTACCCTCGTTTTACACCAAGCTAAATTCAGAAATGCTAGGGCAGTGGTGGTGAACGTATGGCACGGGTGCCAGAGGCGGCACTCAGAGCCCTCTCTGTGGGCATGTGCGCCATCGTCCCAGTCCTAGGCCTTCAGCTGGGTTTTATAAACCTTTTCGCTTTAGGCCTCTGCCGCCATGTACAAAAAAAAGAGGTTCAATCAATCAGTCAATTTCAACTTCTTGCGGGAAAAAAAGTTATTGCAAAGTTGGAATTGCTTGATTGAACTTTTTAGTCCCACCCAGTCTGCCGTTACCATTGCAGCCACGCCCTCCCAATGGGCCACACCCACCTGGCACCCAACGATACATAAGTGGGTTTTGGGTTGCAATTTGGGCACTCCGTCTCTAAAAGGTTCGCCATCACTGTGCTAGGGAATTTCTGGAAACTTGGCATTCAGACCAATCAGCCATCACTAGACACATAGAGGTAAACCCCTTTTGCACACCATTCAAAAGATACAATAAAAAAGCTTAGGAAGGAAACAGGGATGAGAACACATCGTTGCCGCCATCCAGATAAGCAGGGATTAATACCAAGCAAACAATGAAACAGAAAACCATCAAGGAACTACCAAGGAGAGCTTGTTCCTCAGGATAATCCAAGGACTATCCTTATCACATCTTATCTTCTTCCCCTTCTGCTTCTCCCAGTGTTCCTAGGCATAGACATTTTAAAGTGTATCCTGTGCTTGAATCCGGTGCCTTGCTTTTGTGGCTTTCTCCTTGCTGATCATGGCTTTAGGGGGTAGTAGTTGTTGTTTTTAGATGCGAAGTTGTGTCTGACCCATCGCGACCCCATGGACAACGTTCCTCCAGGCCTTCCTGTCCTCTACCATCTTCTGGAGTCCATTTAAGCTCACGCCTACTGCTTCAGTGACTCCATCCAGCCACCTCCTTCTCTGTCGTCCCCTTCTTCTCTTGCCCTCCATCTTTCCCAGCATCAGGCTCTTCTCCAGGGAGTCCTTCCTTCTCATTAGGTGGCCAAAGGACTTGAGTTTCAACTTCAGGATCTGGCCTTCTAAAGAGCAGTCGGGGTTGATCTCCTCTAGGACTGACTGGTTTGAACGCCTTGCAGTCCAAGGGACTTGCAGGAGTCTTCTCCAGCACCAGAGTTCAAAGGCCTCAATTCTTTGGGGCTCAGCCTTTCTTATGGTCCAACTTTCACATCCATACATTGCAACTGGGAAAACCATGGCCTTGACTAGACGTACTTTTGTTGGCAGGGTGATGTCTCTGCTTTTTAGTATGCTGTCTAGATTTGCCATAGTTTTCCGCCCCAGGAGCAAGCGTCTTTTAATTTCTTGGCTGCAGTCCCCATCTGTGGTGATCTTGGAGCCCAGGAAGATAAAATCTGTCACTAGGGGGGTAGTTTGTCACCATTTAGTCCAGGGGTCCTCAACCCCTGGTCCATGGACCAGTATCGGGGCTGCGGCATGTCAGCAACTGGTCCACACAAACAAGGAAAGCTTGGTGGGAAGGTAACAGCATTCCATGTGCCTTTGATGTCTTTGGACAACACTGGCTCCCTCAGCTAAGGAACGGAAATGAGCAGCGACCCCTAGAGTCTGACACGACTGGATAGGGGGAATCTTTACCTTTAGTCCTAATAATCAATGAGTCTCAGCGCTCTAGAGATGAGGGTTGCGATTGTGTCTCATCAAACTCGGGGAGAACGAGATGGGTCGCCTCCCAAGAGCATCTCTTAGCCTGCTCTGAGTTGGAATTGTTCTAGCTTTCTTTTTTTACTTACATCCAGACAAAGGAAACATTGCCTGTGGCTCTAGCAGGAAGTCAAAGGCAACATCCTTCCTGCTGCTTAAAAAACGCGCCTTATTCTGACTTTCATGCAGGTGGGAACTTGGCCTGTTCTTTCTGGCGTTTCACAGAGCCCGCTAAGACAGTCTGGGCACGTAGGCCGATCTCTGTTTGCATTTTTATGATGCACAGACAACAGCTAATCCTGGGCCAGGAAAGCCATCCTTTCACAGAGAAGACAAGGCTGTAATGTAAAAGGCTCACACACATCCCCCTTGAATATTCCTGCTTGACAAAGATTTTAACCTGTTCTCCTACCTAAATCTTGAAAAAAAGAAAGAAAGAAAGAAAGAAAGAAAGAAAGAAAGGGAGAAAGGAAGGAAGGAAGGAAGGAAGGAAGGAAGAAAGAAAGAAAGAAAGAAAGAAAGAAAGAAAGAAAGAAAGAAAGAAAGAAAGAAAGAAAGAAAAGGAGAAAGAGAAAGGGAGAAAGAAAGAGAGAAAAAGAAAGAAAGAAAGAAAGAAAGAAAGAAAGAAAGAAAGAAAGAAAGAGAAAAAAGGCTGGGGAATTCTGGGAGTTGAAGTCCACAAGTCTTAAAGTTGCCAAGGTTGAGGACCCCTGCTTTATATGAAGTCTCCCTTTGTGCCCACTAGGTGTCTTGGCTTTTCTGATATTTTTTTTCCATCTTGTAGTATTTTATCTAGTCTATTTCTAGGATGTTCCTCGATAAAGAGGAAAACCTTCACTCGCAGTGATGGAACCGTCGATAAAATAGTGCTTCGCAGCACAGAGGACACCGACGGTAAAACGGGTACACGACACGGGTAGGAGTCGACGGTTCGTTCTCGCTCTTCCGTTCTTTATGTAAAGTCTGCCCCCGAGAAGAGAGCTCATCTGGGGTGAATTTAGCGTCTTTTAAACCGCAAGAAAAATTGCACTTTGTAGTGCATTAATATGGGGTGTCTTTGAATGCTACGAAACGCTTTTCCCCAAATTGCTCTGCACCTGGGCTGAGTTGCCTTTTATAAGATAAGGGTATATCAACAACCTAAGATATGCAGATGATACCACTCTAATGGCAGAAAGTGAAGAGGAACTAAAGAGCCTCTTGATGCGGGTGAAGAAGGAGAGTGCAAAAGCTGGCTTGAAACTCAACATTAAGAAAACCAAGATCATGGCATCCGGCCCTCTCAATTCCTGGCAAAGAGATGGGGAAGAAATGGAGGTAGTGACAGATTTTATGTTCCTGGGCTCCAAGATCACCACAGATGGGGACCGCAGCCAAGAAATTAAAAGACGCTTGCTCCTGGGGAGGAAAGCTATGGCAAATCTAGACAGCACACTAAAAAGCAGAGACATCACCCTGCCAACAAAAGTGCGGATAGTCAAGGCCATGGTTTTCCCTGTTGCAATGTATGGCTGTGAAAGAAAGGCTGAGTGCCAAAGAATTGAGGCCTTTGAACCATGGTGCTGGAGAAGACTCCTGCGAGTCCCCTGGACTACAAGGCGATCAAACCGGTCAGTCCTAGAGGAGATCAACCCTGACTGCTCTTTAGAAGGCCAGATCCTGAAGTTGAAACTCAAGTCCTTTGGCCATCTAATGAGAAGGAAGGACTCACTGGAGAAGGGCCTAATGCTGGGAAAGATTGAGGGCAATAGAAGAAGGAGACGACAGAGAATGAGGTGGCTGGATGGAGTCACTGAAGCAGTAGGCGTGAGCTTCAATGGATTCCAGAAGATGGTAGAGGACAGGAAGGCCTGGAAAAACGTTGTCCATGGGGTCGTGATGGGTCGGATACAACTTCGCAACTAACAACAACAAAGATAAGGGTCTTGGCTGTCTCAGTTGCTATTTCCTTTTCCAGCTTCCCCGCAATTATTCAAATCAGACTGAAAAATGGGTATATCCCCGAACTAAATTATTTGCAATTATTTGCTGTATCCTCCACCCTGTTCCTGTCTATAAGAGCCTGTCTGTTGTGCCATTGTTAACTCGTCTTCCTCAACGTGCTCTTCAATCTTCTCCGTCTCTTCTAAAATTACAGGTGGTCCTCAACCTACGACCACAGTTGAGCCCAACATTTCTGCTGCTAAGCAAGACAGTTGTTAAGTGAGTTCTGTCCCACTTTATGACCTTTTTTGCCACAGTTGTTAAGTGAATCGCTGCAGTTGTTAAGTTGGTAACATGGTTTCCTCATTGACTTTGCTTATAAAAAGGTCGCAAAAGGTGATCACATGATCCCAGGACACTGCAACCCATCTTAAATACGAGTCAGTTGCCAAGCATCTGAATTCTGATCACATGACCATGGGGAGGCTACAACGATTGTAAGTGTGAAAAACGGTCATACATCACTTTTTTCAGTGCTGTTGCAACTTCGAACAGTCACTAAAAGAATTGCTGTAAGTTGAGAACTACCTCTAGTGTTGGAGAAGGACAGACAAAGCCTGGGGGCGGAGTCAAGAGAGGAACCAGCCTGGAATCCTTATGTTCTCACAAGCGGTCTAAATCCAATCCTTCTTGAATTCTGATAAGTCTTACCTAGCTCCAATTTAGCGCTGACTCTCAGTTGACAAGATTCTTGTTTATAGGCACGTGCAATAAATCAGCTTGACCTTATTTATGTATTTTGTTTCCTTATAAATATTATAGCAATATTAGCGTAAATGAAGACTTGAGTGTTTCTTAAGGGTTGACTGATTTCGAATAACACCTTGTACAAGTGTAACCTTTACTGCTACAATTGATTTTGTGATGTTTATGGCGGAAAGATTATTGATGTAGGTGCTACATCAGGTTTATTTTATTTTGTAATGTTTTGGTATCGAAGACATCAGCAGTTTTGAAGAATCTTTGGCTTAATTGATACCTTCCCCCCCCCCAGTGATTAAATATTTGTACTCAATTAAAGGCAGCCAATAAACACATGACTGAAATCAAAATAATCAGCAGTTTTTTTTTAAAAAAAAAGAACTCTAACTAATTGGATGTCCCTCTCTTAATTTATTAAATACTTTTTAATCAATGAAGTCAACGTATTAATTGGCAAAAAAAAAATCAAGTGACTCACAAGGCCAATTAATCCATTAACTCAGGTAATGATTAAAAAGTATTTAATGAATTAGAACTGCAAGATAGAATGCTTTGCATGGTTTTTCTCCTTTAATTTTAAAATAGGCGCCACGGTACAGAACAACATCATCAGAACAAGTTTGTTCTCAATTTATGTATACTGCAGGTAGCTCTTGTTTTATGATCCTAGTGAAGCCCAGAAATATGGTTGCAATCATGCCAGGTTTGACATGACCACATCCAATTTTACAATCCTTTTTGTCGTGGTTGTTACATGAAGGCCACAGTTGTTAAATGGATATGATGATGATTGTTAAGAGAACTTATTATACCCGGTGGGGGTATTTTGCTGAAAACTGGGAACCATCAAAAAAGTCAAAACTGGGAACCATCAAAAAATTGTCAACGTAGCTGTAGGATGCTACAAAAGCCCATAAATGGAAACCACATGACCACAGGGGCGAAAATATTGGAATTTTGAAACTGGGTCATAAATTACCCAGTAAGTGATCAGTCATAAATTGAGGACTACCTTTCAAACATGCTATAAAGTAGGACTCTTCTTTTTATATATATATATATATATAATATTTTATTAATTTTCCAATTTTACATTTGAGTATTTAAAAAGCAACGTGGTGATTGGGTTAATCAATAGTTCAATAACAAAATATTTAGTGCAAATCTCAGGTTACAACATCAGATATTTCTTCTCTTTTTCCCTTAACATTTACTGTCTCGTATTCAAGCCAGTACATTTCTAATTATATCAACTCAATAAAAACATCATTATTACATTTATCAATAAATTTTTAGCTTGTACATATCTTAATTACATTCAATCTTCATAAACAATCCATAGCCTGTTATTAATTTTTACATAATTTTTAATTTCTCATCAATATTCCAATTTAACCTTTGATATCCATAATTTTCAGACTTTGGGTAACCAAGATTTCCCTTATCTCACTTCATAACAAACCATAATATCCAAAATACACATTTTATCTATTTAAATGTAATCCTGTTCTATTTCCTAAAAGTTATCTATTCCCCACCATATTAAATCATCTAAATAATACAACATCCCCTTTAATAAATCAAAACCATTATATATATATTGCCTGGGTTAATCAATAAATCAAACATATGCGTGGTGATTAATTTTCTTTTCCCTTTTAGATCTAATTTTTCGATATTAAACAAATCGATTCTTCTTTTGACCTGGCATGCTTCATTTTATTCAGTGATTATCTGACTTAATGTGTGGGTTTTTTTTTTTCATAATCTCTCTTCTGCCCTTAGGATAACAATTCCCAGGATTCTGAGATAAGGATTCAGCTAATTTCTCTTCCTATGTACGGCAGTCTTATGTGGACAGTCTTTGGACAGCATTTGGATGAGTCTCCGGAGGTCTATAATTTCACAATGGAAGACATTAACAATCAAAGAATCAGGTAATCTGTGGGGATGTCCCCAAGAAATTTCTACCAGCTCGCCTTGCGTAAGATGTGTAGCTTTCCTCAAAAACAGCCCTAGCACTATTTGTCTTTAGTAGTTTGTGGGTTGACAATTAAAATATGCAGGTCACAAGCTAGGGTTTGATTGCATATTCTGCCAGGGGGTGTGTGAAGGTTGGAACTAATGAAACAGGGAAGCAAGAACTATAGAAATGAAAAATATTTTCCTGAAAGGAAAGACATCAGCTGTTAAAAGTGGTTTTTTTTGTTTTTTTTTTAAAAAGAGACCTGACCTTAAGGGGTGAAAAAAAAAAAGATTGGGGGGAAGGAGAGATATGAAAAAGTTCCCATCTTCAGAGTCTTCCCCCAGCTATTTTCTGAGATTCACTGAGACACCATTTAACACTGGAGGCAAATGTGTTTCCCCCCCCCCAAAAAAAAATAATAATTGAAATCGGTGACCTTAATACAGAACAAGAAAGCATCGATCTACATCAGTGTTTCTCAACCTTGACAATTTTAAGGCATGTGGACTTCAACTCCCAGAATTCCACAGCCAGCATTGCTGGCTGTGGAATTCTGGGAGTTGAAGTCCACATGCCTTAAAATTGTCAAGGTTGAGAAACACTGATCTACATGAAAGGCACGGACTTCCAATATGAGTTATTTAATATTTTTTATCCCGCCTTTATTATTTTTATAAATAAGTCGGCGAGCATACCTAATACGCCTTCCTCCTCCTAGTTTCCCCACAACAACAACCCTGTGAGGTGAATGGGCTGAGAGAGAGTGACTGGCCCAAAGTGCATCCAGCTGGCTTTCATGCTTAAGGCAGTCTCCTGGTGATTGGCCCAAAGTCACCTAGCCAGCTTTTATGTTTAAGGCAATCTGGTGATTGACCTAAAGCAGGGGTAGGCAACCTTGGCTCTTTTATGACTCGTGGACTTCAACTCCCAGAATTCCTGAGCCAGCCATGCTGAGGGGAAAGGGAGAGGTTTCCAAGCTGAGCCATGCTGGCTCAGGAATTCTGGGAGTTGAAGTCCACGAGTCATAAACGAGCCAAGGTTGCCTACCACTGACCTAAAGTCACACAGCTGGTTTTCATGCCTCAGGAGGGATTACATCCCACAGTCTCCTGGTGATTGGTCCTGCCTAAGGCAAGACTAGAACTCACTGTCTCCTGATGATTGCTCCAAAGTCACCCACCCCGCTTTCATACCTAAGATGGGACTAGAACTTACAGTCTATTGAATTCTGGAAACCATGGTTTATTTAAAGCAGGAGCAGGGACTTTCCTGTTTGGTGTCCGGGAGATTCACCATCAGTCTTCAAGGCCAACCAAAAGTCCCATCTCCTACTAGTTCCTGCTTTCTCAAGTCCCATTTCTCATGAATACACAGCAAGGACACCCATATATTTGGTGCCTTTGGGGGGCACAAAGAAAGGACCATTCATGATTTGGACATTTCTGTTTGTTTTTATCTGAAGGATGTGTCTTTAGCAAGAACAATTGCGTTTTCATCCAGACCTGGTGATGTTAGGTGGCCTTTGGGAAGTAGGCCAGGGTTTCCATTTTTCCTGCAGTTGAATATACCTCTGAGATCCTCCAGAACAGGGGGTCTTCAAACTTGGCCCTTTTATGACTTGTGGACTTCAACTCCCAGAATTCCTTAGGCTGAGGAATTCTGGGAGTTGAAGTCCACAAGTCATAAAAGGGCCAAGTTTGAAGACCCCTGCTCCAGAGGATCATGGGGTTTTTTTTCCCCTAAGCCCATTTCCTGCACCTCCCTACTTCACTATTTGGATCCATCCCAATGACATTTCTTTCATCTTGACCCGACTTTTAATTTCGTGTCAATGCAGGAATCGACTTTCCCCATATGGTTCCCCCTACCCACCCCTCATTGTGTTGCAATTAACGCTCCCCAGATCCCCATCCTGCATTGTCAACAGCTTCCCATCTGGCAGATTTAAAGGGCACCAGCTTGATTAAAAAGTTAAAAATAAAACATAGTCTTCCTTGTTAACTATTCCCCCCACCCCCCATAGCCATGACATCCCTCTCAGTGACATGAAAATGCAAGCAAGTGAATTTATTCCCCAAGGCAAACAAGATGCAATTAGAGCAGATTAAATGGTTAGTCAATCGCACACTTTCATGTCCCTACCTACCACCCCAGCTCAACTTCTTCCATTTTTATCCTGCAGATATTTCACCGAGCTTGAAACTGGGGTCAATCAGCCAATCACAGATGTCTTCTACTTCTCTGTGGTCGATGCTGACAACAATCAGCTTGATAGCCAGATGTTCGCCATTACTATCACAGCAGCCCAAAGTGTGCCTCCAGTTGTTACCTTTTCTGACCAAATAACGGTATGTCAATAGCCTGTGAGGTTCTGTACTGAATCCTCTTTCTCTTTCATTTTCAATGTCAATCTATCCATTTCTGCACAATCTAATTTTTTTTTAAATTAATTATTCCTCTGTTGGTAAATCTTCATTTTTTCCAATGTTGAGCAAATACAATTCTCGTTGCAGTTAATACATGTAAAATTAGATATATACACTCTTTCTCGTAGTTTCCTACAATTATGCCTAACAAAAATAATTCTGGGTTAAAATCTATACGTTTTTTAGTAATTTTCTCTAACTATACAGTATGTGTATTCTTGACCAGAATCTTTTGGCTTTGGGGCATGTCCACCAATAAGTGCCTGGTTTTTGTCTGCATTTCCAACAGTTGCTAGATATATTTTTAAACATTTTTGCTAACCTCACCGGTGTTAAGTGCCATATTTTAGAACAGGGGTCTTCAAACTTGGCCCTTTTATAACTTGTGGACTTCAACTCCCAGAATTCCTCAGCCAGGCACGCTGGCTTCAAATCAGATAGCCAATCAAATCCATATCCTAACATGCTAACATATATATGTATACATGTAGTCCTTACAACCACAACTGAGCCCAAAATTTCTGTTGCTAAGTGAGACAGTTAAGTGAGTTTTCCCCCATTTTTCGATCTTTTGTGCCACAGCTGTTAAGTGAATCACTGCAATTGTTAAGTTCTTAACACCGTTGTTAAGTGACTCTGATTTCCCCCTTGACTTTGCTTGTCAGAAGGTCTCAAAAGGGGCACTGCAACTGTCATAAGTACATGCCAGTTGCCAAGCCTCTAAATTTTGATCATGTGACCATGGGGATGCTGCAATGGTTGTTAAGTGTGAAGAACAGTCATAAGTCTCTTTGTTCTGTGCCGTTGTAAGCTCAAACGATCACTAAAGGAATCTTAAGTTCATTTCATGACCAATGTAAGTTGTAAGTTGAGGACTATTGAAAATTGTAAAAACTTTGAATTGTGAGTAGCATTCAGTGGAGAAGGGAGACAGTTGAAGTCCAGGATGCCATGGGGACCAGAAGGGTCACGATACAAGGTCCACCTCCTTTGTTCTCATGAAACATCATGTCACATCACACAAAAATAAGGTTTAGGTTGAAATATCACACAGAGCTGGTTTCAGCTGTTACAAATCTGTCAGATTCTGAAGGCCCTTCTGTATGGGACCTCCAAACTTTCAATATTTAGGAAATGTGTTTTATGCTTATGCTCTGCCAAGTTATTTTTTTGTTTGTTTGCAGCAGAACTCTATTCCTTAGGACAATGATGGCAAACCTTTTAGAGACCCAGTGCCCAAACTTCAATCCAAAACCCACTTATTTATCAACGGGTGCTGGGTGGGCATAGCCTCAGTGGTCATGGTGGACTGGGTGGGCAGGCCCAGGGTGGCGGGGGCCAGTCCCTTGCCATCTCCAGGGCACGGCACATGTGCCCACAGAGAGGACTCTGAGTGCCGCCTCTGGCACGTGTGCCATAGGTTAGCCACCACTGCCCTAGGAAAATACAACTTTTTGGTTTATCAACAGTCACAGGTCATTTCTTATAATTTTTTAGAGATGATGCTATTGTGCAAAGTGGCTTACAATACCATGTCATGTATTCAATAAACCATAAGGTTTTCAGAAATGAAAGAAACCCTGGACTTTATTTGGAAATTCGAGCTGGGGGTTGACACGTACAAAGTATTTCAGATCACAAATATTACGAGTTTGGGGGGTGGGGGGCGTAAAATAGAAGCTTTTGTAAGTAATGCTCCAAATCAAATTTCCAGATAGAGCAAAATGTTGCTTTTGTGTTCAGGTAGAAGAAGGGGGACAAACACCGCTCCAGCCTCACCACTCCCTGGGTCTTGGTGAAGAAGGCCTGGTTGTCAAAATCACAAGTCTTCCAAAATATGGGTACATTGAAAACACCAGGACAGGTAAGGTGCAGAGTTCATACAGGTAGTCCTTAATTTACAACCACCATGGGACCCCCAGATTTCTGTTTCTAAGCAAGGCTGTTGTTAGGTGAGTTTTGTCCCATTTCACCACCTTTTTTGCCACAATTGTTAAGCAGATAACTGCAGTCGTTAAGTGAATCGTGCAGTCATTAAGCGAATCTGGCTTCCTCCATTAACTTGGCTTGCCAAAAGCTGGCTGGGAAGGCCACAGATTGTGATCACATGTCCGCAGCATGCCACAACCCTTGTAAATACATGCCAGTGGTCAAACACTCAATTTTGATCACGTGACCACGGGGATGCTGCAATGATTGTAGGTGTGAAAACCGGTCATAAGTCACTTTTTTCTGTGCCGTTGTTCAAACCGTCACTAAATGAGTGGTTGTAGGCTGAGGACTACCTGTATTTTGCTGTGGGATACTGTTTGCTATATATGCAAAAAAAGTGAGAATTCTGTATGGACAGGAATGGAAAGGAATGTCAACCTGCATAATAGAAGAATGGATGGAGTAAGTGATGGAGGTAGCAGAGATAGCAAAATTGAATGTTTTAATTAGAGAAAGGAACATATCTAGTTTTGTTTCTACTTGGAAACTACTTCTGGACTTTTTTCTTGAGATGGAAAAAAAACCAAACTCTTGACTTTGGGTTTTGTTGATTAATCTAGTTCTCTGTTACAGAAACGGCTAGTACTTCTTTAGTTGATCAAGTAAAAAGTTGAGATTTTAATTCTATTGCTGCGCTGAAAAAAGTCAGAAGTCAGTACTTTTTTCTTTCCCCTCCCTCTACAAAACTCTACAATTTTCTTTCCTGTTTCTACCCTTTCCCAATTTTCTTATTATTTTTATTTGTATTTTATCTCACGATAATCTTAATAAAATTGAGGCGAGATGGGCAGCAGAGAGATCTGATAAATAATAAAATTCCTGATTTGCTGATCAACACAATCAACACAATCATATAAGGATCACTTTCCTTGCAGGCAGACGCCTCGGTTTTGGAAACACGGAAAGTTCTGATTTTTCTTTCTCACTTCAAGATGTGTTGGAGAACCGTATTTATTATTTTCAGAACGTCCATGAAAGTATTGAACCATCAATGGACACCTTTAGTTTTTATATCAGTGATGGCTTCAGCCAATCAGAAATCAGCAGTGTCAACATTACTATTAAGGTAATTGAATTCACTGTGTGTTTTTCATTTGTAAACTGTTGTGATAGTAGAAATAGTGTCTGGGTTCAAGTAAATTGCTAAACTATGCTTTGTTTAAACAAATTTGTTGAGTCAGGCAAAAATGCCTCAGTTCACACCTAATCTAAAGCAGAAACCATGGTTGTTATTGATGCTGATTAATTCTCAACAAGTCAGTAAGTTAAAATCATCAAATCACATCATGACACAATGCGAATCAAGTTTCTCTCTTTCTGTCTGTTTCTCTCTCTGTGTGTTTGTGTGTATACATAATGTATATATGTATACACATGCACCTATACATGCATGCCATACACAAACACATTAACCAATAATAGTTGCAGTTTTTTGCACAGATTAATGCAAATACGCAGTGTCTACCAGGGAAATACAAATTTAGGTTGCTGGTTTGTTTTATGAGAAACCTTGATGCTTGAAATGCTTTCAGTTAGATTTCCAATCAAACGTATTCAACATTATTTGGTAAATGTGGCTATACAGCCATACGACTCTTGTATTTCCATGATCTCATTTCTAAATTTTGTAGCTTCTAGTGTCCTTTCCTCTTCTACTTCAAGAACCTGTGGTTGAAATTAATTTTTCTCTCACAATTTTCCTTCTGGTCTTATAGCGCCTGAATGATGAACCACCTCAGGTACAAGTGACCCCTATCAGTGTGCGTGAAAAGACAGGAGTAGTGATTCGAAATTCCTCCTTGAGGCTAAGGGACTTGGACACTCCTAATGACCTTCTGGTTTTCATGGTAACCAAGGCACCCGTTCATGGTGAGACATATTATTGTAATAATGCTGAAGAAAGAACAATAGACTTATATACTGTTCCATAGTGCTTCACTGCACTCTCTTGAGTGGTTTACAAAATCAGCCTTTTGCCCCCAACAATCTGGGTCCTCATTTTACCGACATTGACTTTGCTTGTCAGAAGATCACAAAAGGTGATCACATGATCTTGAGACACTGCAACTGTCATAAATATGAATGAGTTCCCAAGCATCTGAATTTTGATCACCTGACCATGGAAATGCTGCAATTATGATAAGTGTGAAAAACAGTCATAAATCACTTTTTTTTCAATGCCGTTGTAACTTCAAATGGTTACTAAATACACTGTTGTAAGTCAAGGACTACCTGTAGATGTGCATTTTTATATTGCCACTGTCCTTATTCTGTGGTAAAGGGTTCCAAACACTCATAAAAATTACTAGGAAGAAGTATATTAGGAGTAGAATTAAGGGATTAATGCAATAGAGAGAAAATGATCTGTGAGGAATTTACTCACAGATGTGCATTTTTATATTGCCACTGTCCTTATTCTGTAGTAAAGGGTTCCAAACACTCATAAAAATTACTAGGAAGAAGTATATTAGGAGTAGAATTAAGGGATTAATGCAGTAGAGAGAAAATGATCTGTGATGAACTTACTCAAAATTCTTGACTTGCTCTTAGGGTATCTGTACAGAAGAGAATCTCCCCTGCATTCTCTGGAGAATGGACAAGCTCTCTCTGAGGGATCCACTTTCACCTATCACGATGTTCTGGATGAACTGATCATTTATAAATTGAACAGTTTGGTAGCCCAAAGTGACGAGTTCCAATTTTCACTCTCCGACGGCCTCCACGTTGAGACAGGGAAAATGGAGTTTGTTGTAACCTCACCAAGGATGGACCTTCCCAGATTAGTCGTGAACAGAGGCCTACAACTCTCTGCTGGTAAAAAAAAAAAAAAAAGTCCATTCTGATTTGCCTTTTCTGAAGTCCCCTTATTAAAATTCCTGAGTAGCCAAATTTCCTTCAGCTTTTATGTTTCTTAGTCAACACACTTGGAAGCCTCCCCCCCCCCATATTATTCTAAATTGTCCCCACCATCTGGAGATCTCGGATGCATTCAGTGTGGTATTGTTTCTATGGAAGTCAGCTGGGAACTCCTAGAGAATATACTCTGGTAAATAATTGAAATTAACCAATAGTTGAGGGTAGAGAACTTCAACCCATTGGCATTCATTATTTGTAATTAAAAATGGCAAGGCACTGAATGCTGTCCCTGGAGCAGTGTTTCTCAACCTTGGCAACTTTAAAATTTGTGGACTTCCAACTCCCAGAATTCCCCAGCCACCTGGCCTTAAAGCATCCAATATCTGTGGCTTAAAAGTCAGCTTTTATCCTTTTCTTCTTGAGAAAGAAGCAGATGCATTTCTAGCTCTTTCCTTTCTCCACATGCATTTGGTCCATGTATTTATTGAATTGCATTTGAGTGGATCTGCCTGGTTGCTTTCAAAATGTTATTTTGCGTAGGCTGTCCAAATCTGAGGGTTCTGTTGATTTTTTTTTTTTGAGCTTCAGTATTAACATTTGCCCTGAGAAGTCTCAAAAGACTTCCTTCACCATGGTACCAAATCAGTGTTGCAACACCTTTGTGAGGCTGTGATTTAAGAAGACCCTGTGAGGAAAAAAAACAGGCAAGCAAAATTGAATTGGAAGCCTTTCCTCTAACCAAGTTGAACAAAAACCTGGCTAGAAGTTGGTAATCGGGGGTCATATCCGACAATTTCTCTGGCTTGGAGAACAAATATCCCCAAACTTGTTTTAATTCACAGGTTCATTTATATCTGATTTTCTGGGAGGGAACTAGCAAAGTCTGGTCCCACCATATGGCACCTACTTCTAAAATCTTGTCAAGGAAACTGCAGAGATTAATCCAGGCAAATCGCAGGAGTTGACACTGACTTGAAGGAAATCAATCAATCAATAAGCAAGCAAGCAAACAATTATCCCCAGAATAATTAAGCAAGAAAGTTAATGTTGTTTGTATCCATTTGTTTCCACCCTTTAGGATCTGTGGCAGTCATTACAACCCAGCATTTAAGAGCCATAGATCCTGATTCAGATGACCTGTCTATCAAATATATCATGAAGAAGGACCCAACCTGTGGATTGTTGCACTTGCATAAAAGAGATTCTTTGATCCAGATCTCCACTCAGGGACCAGCTAAAAGCTTTACCCAGGCAGAAATAAACAAAGGTGGGGTGTTACCTCTTCTAATAGATGAAATTCCGGTATTTATTTCTAAGATGAATTGCATAATACAACAGGCTACAGCTTTCTTCTCAGGTTTTTGGATTTATACTTTGGCACAAACATGACTTGATCTGTTTTTAAAAGGATTTGATTCTTGTACTTCTACAAACAAAGGAAAAAAAAAAAAGAACAACAAATATGATTAGGTGACTGGAGGCTAAAACATATGAAGAACGGTTGCAGGAATTGGGTATGTCCAGTTTAATGAAGACAAGGACAAGGGGGGGACAGGATAGCAGTCTTCCAGTATCTCAGGGGCTGCCCCAAAGAAGAGGGAGTCCCCTCTTTGTTGATCGTTACTGTGATGTTTGGCAATTAATGACAACAGTCCATGGGACAAAGAAGGAATAGGCTGAATTATCTACAAAATAGGAGTGTGTTAAACAGCCAGTACATATTTAGAAGGAGGGTGAAGATTCGTTCTCCAAGCTTGGGGGGTTGGTTTCCAAAAGTTTCGTTACAAGCTAGGTAATCTCTTCAGCGGAGTTTAGGAAGTGTTCTTCTGTTTATAAGGGCTTCAGGTGTGGGTATGTTGAGTGAGGGTCTTGTGATGGGTCATGTGTGGGTCATCAGTGAGAGTCTTGTGATGGGGAGGCTACATCAGGTCAGGGCCATTGGGAGGTGAACTGGTGGGACGGGGGGGTTGCGTGGGTTGATGAGGGTCGGTGCCGTCTCTGGTTACTTGTATGGTTGATTTGGCTTCTGAGGGGTTCGTACCCCCCCCCCCCCAACCAGGAGTTCACTTCCCAGTGACTCTGACCTGATGTAACCTCCCTATCGCAGGGGTAGGCAACCTTGGCTCTTTTATGACTCCTGGACTTCAACTCCCAGAATTCCTGAGCCAGCATGGCTCAGCTTGGAAACCTCTCCCTTTCCCCTCAGCATAGCTGGCTCAGGAATTCTGGGAGTTGAAGTCCACCAGTCATAAAAGAGCCAAGGTTGCCTACCCCTGCCCTATCGCAAGACCCCATCATAAGCCTCTCACTGATGACTCACACCTGACCCGTCACAAGACCCATCCCAACACTTGACACACCCACACCCGAAGCCCTTATAAACAGAAGAACACCGACACCAACATCCCCTAAACTCCACTGAAGAGGTTTCCTAACCTGGTAATGAAATGTTCGGTAACCAACCCACAAGCTCACAACCCTCATCCTACACCTGAGCGACAGATATTCGCCACTATTGCAAACATATTTAGAAGGATAGACTCAAAAGGGTCCAACTAAGCCCCATAGACCAGGGGTCTCCAACCATGGTAACTTTAAGACTTGTGGACTCCAACTCCCAGAATTCCTCAGCCAGCCAAGCTGGCTGAGGAATTCTGGGAGTTGCAGTCCACAAGTCTTAAAGTTGCCAAGGTTGAGGACCCCTGCCATAGACCATCAGTCAGCATCCACGTATGAGTTTATTACCTCAGAGAGAGACCCTGATTACATACTTCAGAAAAACACAGTTAACACAAGATAGCTTGCGGTTGTCCTATGTCAGGGATGTCAAACTGGCGGCCCACAGGCCGGATGTGTCACGCGCAGGCCGTACCCACCCTGCCTCCACAAAGGCAAAAAAACATCATGTTAGGTCACAATATGTCAGGTGACGTGATCGAGTTTGACACCCGTGTTCTAAGTGTTTCTTCTATTCTTCCTTCTGATTTCCTACCACAGGACAAGTAGAATACAGCCATGAGAAAGGAGAAGCAGTTGGGACCTTTATTTTTGTTTTTGATGTGGCAGATGGAGAGGGAAACAAAGTGACAGACCTGGCATTTTCAATTAACGTAACAGGTAATGCAACGATCTAGACACCGCTTTCTTCAGGAAGGCAGAAGATAGCTTTAATTAGCTAGAATCAAGGAAATTCTGGAAAAGACAGCAGCTGTGAAGCAGGGTGGTTAGAATCAATTATGAAGACAATTTAAGGGCTGCACATTATTAGCGTTGGAATAATAGTGGCTTGAAATTGCCGAGAACCTTAGCTTCTGCATCCTGAGTGGTACAGATTGATATTCCAATGAACAATTCTTTCTTCATCACAATATCATTTGTCATAGAATTCCACCGGTTAAGTTTATATTTCAGGGGAAATTTCCTCTGAGATGTTAAATGAGGAATAAACAAAAACCCACTCTTGTTTTGGCTTTCCTGAAAAATCGATCACATTTGGAAACTATGTTACTTGAAAATTAGAGCTTAATTAACTGGTTAAATTAATCATCTAAAATCGATTCTCTGGCTAAAAATGTGCCCCAATTATTTGTTTGAAAAATGCTTTTAATACAAGCATTGATACACAATTACATTTACTCACCTTATTATTTTTCACTGGAAAAAGTCTCTTTAAATCGTGCTTGTATTAGCATTGTAGCAGCAGAGAGAAACTGTTCCCCCCCCCTGTGGTTAGGACTCTCCTGTCATTGGTTAAAAATGCAACATTGGACAGTCAAGAGTACTTCATATAAACCAGGTTTGATAAATGTTTGCTTGGGGACCCCAAAGGTGCTTTTCAAAAGACAACTGGACTTTTGGGTTTTTTTCCTTGAAGACGTTTTCCTTCTCATTCAAGAAGCTTCTTCAGTTCCTCTTCAGAATTGAAGAAGCTTCTTGGATGAAAAGCGAAACGTCTTCAAGGAAAAACAAAGAAAGTCCAGTTGCCTTTTGAAAAAGCACTTTTGGGACAACCATGACCTGGATGACTGGGAATCTCCATAGACGGTTTGCTTAGGGAGGGCTTTTGATAGTGTTGGCTCCTTACGTGCTCCCTCTCTCCTTCAAAAGTGGAATAATTGTATGTGTGGAAGAGCTGGCTCAGGGGTAGGCAACCTTGGCTCTTTTATGACTCGTGGTCTTCAACTCCCAGAATTCCTGAGCCAGCATGGTTAGCTCCACAAGGCTGTCTGGAAACAGCAAGGAACCAGCCCCTGCCGTGTCGGCCCCGCCCCCTGGGTGCATGCTGGGGAGGTGTCACCTTTTGTGAGGAATGAAGAAATGGACCATGCCTTGGCGCTTGCCCCGGTCCCACCCCCTTCTGCCAGAGACCCTCAGATCTGTCCCACTCCTGCCCAGGCCACCACAGGCCCCCTTGACACGAACGATGTAGAGCTGGCCACGCCCACCCAGTAGGCCACACCCACTCCATCCACGCCCACCCAGTAGGCTGCACCCACCCTGGCCACACACACCCGCCCCCCCCAGGGCAACCGCAATGCTGATGCAGCCCTCAATGAAACTGAGTTTTGACACCCCTGCTGTTATGCATAGTACTTCCTGAGTCATAGACAGCAAATGCTGAAATTGGTTTTGATTTTCCAGTTGACACTTGTGAACTTCCTAAATCCATCCACTTGTTCACCATGTGACAAAGAAGATGGATCTAGGATCTGTTTCCTCTTTATTTTCACTTCTCCCAGGGGATCGATTGCCTCTGTCCATCACTGTCAACACTGGGCTAACCCTGGACGAAAACTCTGTGAAAATAATCACCCCTTTGGAGTTGTCAGCCAAGAAGCAGGGTGAAGAATCCAGCAATCTCCTCTACAGGATTATTAAACAGCCCCAGTTGGGACATTTGGAGCACACGGCATTACCAGGTTTGCAAATATTTCCTGGTTTTGGAGCAAAGTGAGAACAAAGACTCCTATTTTACGGAATTAGAAGGGAATTATGCTGATTTATTTAGCAATAGAAGTCAGGGTGCCTGGAGTGTCTCCTTTAAAGTCTGACAGTATTAATAAATGAATGGATAAATATGGTTGCTGGACATGTTTGAAAGCATCCCAGAGGTGTTGTGTTGCAAGGGCGAATGTCTAAAAGGAAGTTTGAAGGTTTCGGGGATGTAATTCTTTGAGCTGGAGGACGCGCTTGGAATCTTAGAGCACAAGGTGGATTCTTCTGCTACTGTTTTCTAGGCAGAAGGATTAGTTCCTTCCAACAAGCAGACCTTATCTCCCACAGCATCCACTACATCCATACAAGCGAGGCTGAAGAACATGCTGACATGTTCACTTTCACCATTTCAGATGGCCATCAGGAGGTCAGTGAAGTTCCATTGATTTCCCCCCAAAAATATGGTTAGTTTGTCTGTGGAAAGGCAATGTCCAACAAGAAGAGCTTTGTTCGTTCTTTTTTTCCGATAGGTGACCCAGAATTTTGAAATCACCATTAATCCGGTGGATGATTCTTTGCCCGTGGTGCAGACTGCTGGCCTGACTGTGCAGGAAGGAGTACGGAAATCCATCACAGAATTTGATCTCAAAGCCACCGATGCGGACACAGAGGTGAAGAAAGGAATCCTTTTGGGGGGGGGGGTGTGTTCTTTTTTATGACTACGAAGGAGTTTAGGAGGACATTTTAGTTCCCATCGAATGGTATGTCCCTCTAGAACAGAGATGGGCCAACTATGGGGCCTTTACTGCCTATGGACTTCAACCCCCAGGAAAAGTACATGGAAAGTTGGGGCATCCAGTGATGGCAAACCTTTTAGAGACTGAGTGCCCAAACTGCAACCCTACTTAAGTATTGTCGGGTGGCCCATTGGGTGGGTGTGGCCAATTGGGTGGGCATGGCTTCAGTGGTAACGGCAGACTGGGTGGGACTAAAAAGTTTAATCAATCAATTCCAACTTTGCAAGATCTTTTATTTTCCCGCAAGAAGTTGAAATTGACTGATTGAACCTTTTTTTTTTTTGCACACGGCAGTAGAGGCCTAAAGCGAAAAGGTTTTATAAAACCCAGCTGAAGGCCTAGGACTAGGGCGATGGTGTGCGTGCCCACAGAGAGGGCTCTGCGTGCCACCTGTGGCACGTGTGCCATAGGTTCGCCACCACGGATATATAGCATTCCATCTTCCTACTTTTTGGCAACAAGAAAAATCTGAGATACTTTGGGCTGACCCATAGTCACCCTAAGGCACTTCCAAGGCTGAGGGTGGACCACAATCCACGCCACCCCAATGCTAACCACCGCACTGTGGCTGTCTTATTGTCTGTAAGTTTGTTATTGTCATATAAGCCATCTTGAAAATCGGGATAAACAGAAAAAATGCTATCTGTAGTCATGAATAAATAAATACTTTCTCTGCTGATCTAATATCCTGAGATATGCTACCTTTGGGCTAGGAGGTTCTCTTTAGTTGGCAGAACTAATAGACCTTTCAGAGATGGAACGCCCATGAAATTATCAAATTCTTATTTGGAGAGATCGGAGGCAATAACTGCACGTTGCCAAATGCTGAGTTTCCTAAATCACTTGGGCATGAAAAAACTAAAGACTGGAGGCTACAGAGAACTGGATGCGGTGGGATCTAGGTTTGGACTGCAGAGAGGCAACAACAGAAGTGATTCCATGACTTAGATAAGATGGTTGCTGGAGACGGGGGTTTTTTTTTGATCACGGGGAGAGGAAATGATACAGCTCCTTCCTAGCTTGCACAGACTTTGCTCTCAGCTGGCTAGGAAGTGGTGTGAGGAGCAACCTACAACTAAGGAGAAACTTCCTGACAGTGAGAACAATTAATCAGTGGGATAACCTGCCTCCAGAAGCTGTGAATGCTCCAACACTGGAGGTTTTTAAGAAGAAACTGGACAGCCATTTGATATAGGGCAGTGGTGGCGAACCTATGGCACGGGGTGCCAGAGGCGGCACTCAGAGCCCTCTCTGTGGGCACGCGTGCCGTCGCCCCAGTCCTAGGCCTTCAGCTGGGTTTTATAAAACCTTTTTGCTTTAGGCCTCCGCCGCCGTGCACAAAAAAAAAAGGTTCAATCAATCAGTCAATTTCAACTTCTCGCGGGGAAAAAAAAGATCTTGCAAAGTTGGAATTGATTGATTGAACTTTTTAATCCCACCCAGTCTGCTGTTACCACTGCAGCCACGCCCACCCAATGGGCCACGCCCACCCAATGGGCCACGCCCACCCAATGGGCCACACCCACCAGGCACCCGACGATGCATAAGTGGGTTTTGGGTTGCAGTTTGGGCACTCGGTCTCTAAAAGGTTCGCCATCACTGATATAGGGTTTCCTGCCTGAGCAGGGGATTGGACAAGGTCCCTTCCAACATCATCATCATCATCATCATCATCATCATCATCATCATCATCATTATTATTATTATTATTATTATTATCATCATCATCATCATCATCAATTTATTTCATTTCTTAGAAATTGCTTGTAAGAGAACCTTAGAGCTGTCAATTTTACCAGACCATCTCCTGAATCTATATCAACCTGTGAACTAACCATCATCCTGTGATGTGAACTCTCATTTTTTCTTTGTTTCTCTCTTTGTTCTGTATGTAGGCCAAGTCTGTTACCTTCAGCATTGTGCAGCCCCCGCGCCATGGCCAGCTTGAGCGCACCGTTGATGGCCATCATTACCAACAGGCCCATGCCTTCTCCATGGAGGATGTCTTCCACAACCGGATCAGTTACAGTCACGACGGGAGCAATTTTTTAGAAGACCGTTTCACTTTTACGGTGTCCGATGGAACCAATCCCTTTTTTGTGGTGGCAAAGGATGGGAAAGAGGTCAGTGGAGAAGCCAAGGGTCACTAGGCCCAAATGGACGTTCACATGATTCCTCACAGCTTGTGGCTGCTCAGATAGTAGGCCTAGAAATTCAACCTTAAGTCTTCTCTCTCTAACCCTGGTGTGCAGAAAGCTTTCAAGTCAATTAAGGCTTTTGTTCCCTGACATGAAACAGCAGTGGAAAAGAGACCAAGGAGAGGTCATAATCAGCTCCCGTAGTAAATTACTGTGGCTCAGTATATGTGATGTAATTTACTAATCTGGTTTCCCAGGAGAGAGGGGGTGCATTCTAGAAGAATAAGAGGCAGCTCAGTTCAGATAAATTGGGTAAGAGAAAGAGGGTGAAGACAGCCCCTTCTTAATAGGTTTTCTGAGTATATGCTTGTGTAGATGACAGATCTGTTCTATTCTGTTCTGTTCTGTTCTGTTCTGTTCTATTCTATTCTATTCCATTCCATTCCATTCCATTCCATTCTTATTCTTATTCTTCCCTGTTCTTATTCTATTCTATTCTATTCTATTCTTATTCTTATTCTTCCCTGTTCTTATTCTATTCTATTCTATTCTATTCTATTCTATTCTATTCTATTCTTATTCTTATTCTTATTCTTCCCTGTTCTTATTCTATTCTATTCTATTCTATTCTATTCTATTCTATTCTATTCTATTCTATTCTATTCTATTCTATTCTATTCTATTCTATTCTTATTCTTATTCTTATTCTTCCCTGTTCCTATTCTATTCTATTCTATTCTATTCTTATTCTTATTCTTATTCTTATTCTTATTCTTCCCTGTTCTTATTCTATTCTATTCTATTCTATTCTTATTCTTATTCTTATTCTTATTCTTCCCTGTTCTTATTCTATTCTATTCTATTCTATTCTATTCTATTCTATTCTATTCTATTCTATTCTATTCTATTCTATCATATCCTCTATCCTCTATTCCATTCTCTGTTATCTATCCTGTCCTATCCTATCCTATCCTATTTTCCCACCTTTATTACATTTATAAATAACTCAACAAGGTGAACATAACTTATACTCAGTGGTGGGATTCAGCCGGTTTGCACCACTTCACCAGAACCGGTAGCTATTTTTTTGTTGCCCAGGCCCAGAATGGACTTCCAGAAGTGGCATCCACACAGAGAACCGGCTGTTCACGTATTTGAATCCCACCACTGCTTATACTCCTCCTCTTTTTCCCACAATAATCCAGTGAGGTGGGTTGGACTGAGAGAGAATGACTGGCCCAAAGTCACCCAGCCAGCTTTCATGCCTAAGGCAGGACTAGAACTCACCATCTCTTGGTTTCTAACCTGATGCCTTAACCACTAGATCAAACTGACATTGTAGGAAAACTATATCGGAAGAATCACCACACGTTTCTCTTGGGTTTGGGGCCTGATAAAATTGCCCATAAGATCCATTTATTCTTTAAGGAGCTGCCTGACATATTAAATAACTTAAGAGAGGTGAAAACCCATTTGTAACCATGTACATTTTGAAATACTGTTTTGAGTGACTTGATATAAGAACACAAAAGAACAGAAGGGCATTTAATCCAGTATGGTAAATTTTCATGTTGCAAAAACAAATGTTCTGAATATATTTTTCAGGTTGTGACTGCTGTGCCCCAGTGGTTTAGAGTAGAAATCCTCCCTGTGGATGATGGGCTTCCAAGAATTGTCACTAATTTGGGTCTTCAGTGGTTGGAATATATGAATGGCAAGGTGAGCTTTTATGTCTGATTGTTTTCAAATTAGGCAACTCTATCCTTTTTAACTGGCATAAAAATAGGAAGATGAAGGACTAGAAAGAAATGCTGATTTTGATCCTACCCAGCTGTGGATATTTCAGGCAGATTTTATTCATTCTAAATCATGAATTGTTTTAATTATGGTTGTATGATTAAGGCACAATGGTGAGGTTTACATAATACATTCCATCATGAGCCATGATTTATACATGAGGTGAATCAACTCCATCCTTCTATGAAATGAATTGAGGGGGAAAAAAACCATGCACATTTTTGCTTTCAGCCATTCTGGAAGTGTTCTGAGTACCATAATTGGAATGAACAAGCAAACATAGAATGCATTTTATTTATTATTTCTATATCTCCCTCTTCTCCATGATGCTAGGCAGTATATAAATGATATACATGTAGTCCTCAACATATAACCATAACATAATTCACGGTGATCATAAAACAAGTCAGTCATATGACTAACCCAATTTTTACAAACTTTTTTTTTGCTTTGGTCATTAAGTGAACGCCCTAGTCATTAAGCAAACCAATGGTTTGCTATGAGTGCAGTTTAAGTAAATGACGATCTTCGACTAAATCAGGGGTAGGCAACCTTGGCTCTTGTATGACTCGTGTACTTCAACTCCCAGAATTCCTGAGCCAGCCATGCTGAGGGGAAAGGGAGAGGTTTCCAAGCCGAGCCATGCTGGCTCAGGAATTCTGGGAGTTGAAGTCCACGAGTCATAAAAGAGCCAAGGTTGCCAACCCCTGGACTAAATGGTCATAAAATGCAGCTGCAGCTGAAGTTTAGTCACATGACTGGGGAGGGGCAACCATCAGAACTTCTCATATATGGCTTTTGTTGTTTTATCTATATATAAAATACAAAGAGAAATAGAAATGGGAAATTAGGGGAAAGGGGGAAAGAAAATGCAAAGGAAATGTAAGGGAAAAAAGAAAAAAAATGCCCTGGACTTCTGACTCTTTTTAGCACAGTACAGGATAGAAACACTCCAGCCTCAACTTTTTGATTTTACACATCGGTATACAACTAGCCATTTCTATAACGACAAATCTATCTAATCGACAAAAACCAAAGTGAAAGTTTCATATTTTTTTTCATCGCAAGCGCAAAATCCGGAAGTGATATCCAAATGAAAAACGTACTTGAGTATATTCTCCTCTTTGAATAAAATAATCAATCTAACCATTTGTGCTTTGTCTTCTTGGAAGTTGAGAACTACCTGTATTTTATTTTTGTAATTATTTGACTTTTTTATATATACAGTATAATACATAGCACCACACACGATTGGACTGTATTTGCCAGCAGAGTCAAGTGATGCATTTTCTCAATATTTAAGGTGCAAAGCCCAAAGATTTTGCTTCTCATTGCTCTGGGGCAACAGCATAGCTAAATATTGCTGGCTACAACTGACTACAAAAAAAAGACAGAGAAGTTTTCCAAGCAAAAAGCTGAATGGTGTATGTTTGTATGTGTGTGTGAGTGTGCACCTCCTCTCATTGCCGCCAGCTGCTGTGATGAATGGAATAGACCTTGGCTATTTGTTACATCAGCAGTTGTGGCTAAACTAAGCAATCCATCTTAAACCGTAAGGCTAAAGTTCCTAATAACGCTGCTCCTCCTCACCCGATGCTCTCGTTCCATAGGCTGCTGGGCTGTGATGTCTTATTCCTTGCTAATAGCATTTGCATTCCTTAAGTGGGAAGCTCTGATGGATTAATTGCTGTGATTAATCAAGTGGTGCTTCCATCACCAGTGAAGAGGCAGAGAAATGGAAACAGATTTTAACTGCAAGCTGAGTAGGGCGCTCAAACACACCACACACATATCAACAGTGGGAAGAGTGACAAATGGGGATGCAGGTGACTTTTACAGACTTTTGCACAGATTGCTTTTAGAAAGTCTGAAGTCTGCCTTGGGAACCACTGCTTCGGTATTGATCAGAAGGTTTTGCCTTGTGGATCCAGATTTAAGAGATAGGCAATAGCACAACAGCAGAAGACCTGAAAAGGCTGAAAGGAACCAGGGATGAAGAAGTTGAGGTTCAAATCCAGCCTAGGTCAGAGAAGCTCATGGGTGGCATTGGACCAGTTATCCTCTCTTAAGCCAACCTACCTCACCAGGCTGTTGGGAGGATACTGTCAAGGATTAAACTTTGGCAGTTACATGCCTCTGCGTTTCAATTTGCCTTTAGATTAAGGGGGGGGGGGGAGAGGAAAGTGTTACTTTCAAGTGGGTTAAATGGAGAAACTAAACATCTTCGATTTAGCTGCAGACCTTGAGAGCCTGAAGCCTTGTCAAGGACACCAAAACAGGTGTGGATTTGAAGCAGATGGTTCCCATAACAAAGTGGACTTGTTGATATGGGTTACATAAGACGTTGGGGGTTTGGCTGGGAATACTATTGTTTAAGTCTACAAGTTGGTGTTGGAACCTCAGAGTTAGTTTGGCTTCGACCTTACCATGCCGTGTATTCAATAAACAGTAAGATTTTCAGAAACGGAATGAACCTGGAGTTTTATTTGGATTCTCAATCTGGATGTTGACAGATACAATGAAAGATCTAAGCTACCTTGAGCTCTTGAAGGAAAGGTGACATCTGACTCTTACAAATAATAAATAAACAAGAATAGCAAATGCCCCGAAAGGTAAGGAAGAAAGATTTGAAAACAGGTAGTCTTCAATTTACGACCGTTCATTTAGCAACTGTTCGAAGTTACAATCGTACTGAAAAAAGTAGCTTACTATTGGTCTTTGCACTTACGATCATTGCAATGTCCCAGTGGTCACGTATTCAAAATGTGGGCGCTTGGCAACCAGCACATATTTACAACAGTTGCAGTGTCCCAGGATCATGTGATTGCCATTTGCGACCTTCCCACAAGCAAAGTCAACGAGGAAACTGGAATTTGTTTAACAACTGCACATAATGACTGAAGCGATTTGCTTAACATCCGTGGCAAAAAAGGTCATAAAATTGGGTATGATTCACCTAATGATTGCCTTGCTTAACAATGGAAGTTCCAGTCCCAATTGTGGTCATAAGTCAAGGATTACCTGTAAATATTCATTGATTGTATGGTGGTTAAATGGCCAGATAAAGATCAAAGAGACTTGAGGTTGAAGTCTCTCATCAAAGGCTCTCTGGATGATCCTTTGGAACAATCACAAGGGAAAAAGGAATCCAGGTAGTCCTCAATTTACAACCACAATTTGAGACCAACATTTCTCTGGCTAAGTGAGACAGTTTTTAAGTAAGTTTTCCCCCAATTGATGACTTTTCTTGCCACAGTTGTTAAGTAAATCACTACAGTTAAGTTAGTTTCACAGTTGCTAAGTGAATCTGGCTTTCCCATTGACTTTGCCTGTCAGAAGGTCACCAAAGGGGATCCCATGACCTCAGGACACTGTAACCATCATAAATATGAGTCAGTTGCTAAGTTTCTGAATTTTGATCCCATGACCACGGGGATGCTGCAACGTCCGTAAGTGTAAAAAATGGTCATAAGTCATTTTTTCCAGTGCCGTTGTAACTTCGAACAGTCATTAAAAAAATTGTTGTAGGTAGTCCTGGACTCACAACCACAATTCATCTCTAAACTTTCTGCTCCTAAACAAGATGGTTGTTTAGTGAGTTTTGCCCCCATTTTACCTGTACAGAACAAACCCTTTACATGTGAGTTTCCAGGGGCTAGGGATTATGGGACTTGTAAACCAAAACATCTATAAGGTACCAGATTGGAAAAGACTGTTCTAGTAGGCTTTCATTTTTAAAATCCAGGGTTTATGGTCTCTTCTTCACTGGTTTCTGCTCTTCCATCCAGCCAAAAAACCTCATCACTAAGAAGGAGCTGTTGACTATGGACCCCGATACAGAAGACAACCACTTGATCTATGAAATAACAACGGGACCCAAATATGGTTACGTGGAGAAGAAATTGCAGCCGGGAAGGATGGTGACTACCTTTACACAAGGTATAAGCCACGTTGGCATTTGCTCTTTGGTGTCGTGCCTCTTTACTAGCGTCGTCCTTTTCTCTTGGAGGAATGGAAGGAGAGGCTGAATGAACCTGGATAATATAGAGAAGATTGAACATGACCTGCCAATTTTATTGGCAACAAACCCACTTGAGGAAAAATAGCAGAGCAGAACTCTGAATTTGACAACCAGGGAAAATGTCTATGGAGATTCCCAGTCATCCAGGTCATGGTTGCCCCAAAGGTGCTTTTCCAAAAAGGCAATTGGACTTTCTTGATTTTTTTTTCTTGAAAACACTTCGCTTCTCATCCAAGAAGCTTCTTCCAAGAAGATTCAGAACTGAAGAAGCTTCTTGGATGAGAAACGAAGCGTGTCTGAGGGGAAAAAAACAAGGAAGTCCAGTTACCTTTTGGAAAAGCATCTTTCAGATGACAATCAGGGAAGACATCCGGAGATCCATCTTCGTGTTTTGTGTTCAAGTTGGTTGCTATCACTGCTTGGATTCCCACCTCATTGTGAGCCATGGTTTATTTAACCGCAATGGTTGGACCAAGCCACAATTGGAGGACATCATGCAGTAGGCCAGGGGTAGGCAAGCTTGGCTCTTTTATGACTCGTGGACTTCAGCTCCCAGAATTCCTGAGCCAGCATGGCTCAGCTTGGAAACTCTCCCTTTCCCCTCAGCATGGCTGCCTCAGGAATTCTGGGAGTTGAAGTCCACGAGTCATAAAAGAGCCAAGCTTGCCTACTCCTGCACTAGGCTAAGCTCTAACCTGGCTTACAAATTAAGATTTTTGGGTTAACCCAGCATGCAGAGACAGAACCTAACCTCATTATGGCTTAATGCCAATCATCCAATCTCATAGGGTTAACTAAATATCACATGAGGAAGTTGATAGAGTTAATTTTTGTCTTTTATTTCTGAAACTCCCAACTCCTCAAACCGATAGGGAATGTCTAAAATGCTTAGATTCAGAGAAAAGAAGAAATACTTTCCTTCCGTATCAAGGTTCAGTTTATACAATTCTTCTCTAATTATTTCAGTACTTAATTTTTTATGCTGCTGTGGTTGCAGTCTGGTGATTTCTTCCATTTTTTTAAAAAAAATCCTAAAATATCTTTTTGAAACTCAATGACCGGTATTTCTGAGAGTGGCCAGATAGATCCTTAGAAAATAATTAAAATATGGTCAGTTTGATTTTTCCTTTCCTAATGAGGCACAAAATAGAGTTTGTTTTTATGGGTTGCTCACTGGAGTCTGCAATTTCATCGAATGCTGCAGCCCCTAAGAACTTTGTTTATTTGGTCATCCTTAGTTGAGGCTCTGTTAGGCTCTAGATGAAATGAATAGTGTTCCCCAGCGTGGATAATTTTATAAAAATGTTGCATTTATTGGCTGAGATAGGGTGAAATCCCTTTTGAGCAACAGGGATTGTTCTGTAGCCAGATTAGATTAGCATAGAGGTTATTATCGTGGTTTGCAAAGGATGTAAAAAAATGACCTTTGATTCCTGGATTAATTTGTTGAAGTCTTTTTCTAACAGAGGACGTGAATTTGGGATTGATCCAATACGTGCTACATGAAGAGAATATTCAAAGGACAGAAGATAGTTTTCAATTTCTGGTGAAGGACAGCAAACCGAGCATTGTCACTGATAATATCTTCCATATTCAATGGTCCCTTATCAGCTTTCAACATATGAGGTACCTCACTTACCACCGTTTTCTTAATACAACGCATAAATGTAAATTATTCAGCCATTTGACTGAATTCTTACTGTTAAGATTGCCATAGCATGTTTATAGTCAGCAGCTAGCAAGTCCCTTCTTTCTTATGGATTGTGGTTTTCATGTATCTTATTTCAGAAAAATTAATATTTTAAGTAAACCACATATGAAAAATCACTTTGAATCAGAGTAAAAACTTCTGGAATGTCATGTGACCCAGTGTGTCGTATGCTGTTGCTAGAAAGCAAAGATGCTGGAAATAACGGAATAACAGAATAACATAGTTGGAAGGGATCTTGGAGGTCTTCTAGTCCAACCCCCTGCTCAAGCAGGAGACGCTTACCATTTCAGACAGATGGATATCCAATCACTTAAAAACATCCAGTGATGGAGCACCCACAACTTCTGGAGGCAGGTTGTTCCACTGATTAATTGTTCAAACTGTCAGGAAATTTCTCCTTAGTTTTAGGTTGCTTCTCTCCTTGATTAGTTTCCATCCGTTGCTTCTTGTCCTGCCTTCTGGTACTTTGGAGAAGAGCTTGACTCCCTTTTCTTTGTGGCAATCCCTGAGATATTGGAACACTGCTGTCATGTCACCTCTAGTCCTTCTTTTCATTAAACTAAACAAGAAAGTGACGAGGAAATCACAAGCATCTCATGTAGGACAAGAGAGATGCAAGTGGACCATGGATGAAAAAGTGGGCTTAGATGTTCATTTGTTAAACAAAGCATTTCCCATTCATTTTTACCTCAGCTGGTATATTTATGTGTGATTTGTTGATAATATGCTCCAAGAGGCTTTATTTAACTTGCCTGATGTTGCATCTGTGCTTTTGCCAAGTTGAATTTCGGTGCGTTTCTTTCTTATTTTCCTTCTTTTTTTTCCTGGAGTTGAATTAAATGAATTTGATTAGATTGAATTGCCCCAAATGGAGGCAGATTTCACATTTTCAATAAAACAAAAGAAAGCAAGCACATTTAAGTGAATTAAGTTGTTACAAATTGCAAGTTAACTTCTTAATTTGCTACTGGGAACAATAGACTAAAAGACACACAGGATAAGCTTCCTAATAGAAGTCTGACATAAATACCAAATTGAGGATGACTCATTCCAATGCATTCCTTTGTGATCCGCAAATCTTGGGTTGTTCCTATTCTGTGACCTGAAGGAAGCCATTTCTGTCCCTCTTTCTTTCCAGCTACAACATCAGTGAAAAGGCCGGTTCCATCAGTGTGGCTGTGAAGAGAGCAGGAAACCTCAAACAATATGCTATTGTCCTGTGCCGTACCGAACAGGGAACGGCCACCTCCGGTTCAAGTTCTCAGCCAGGGGAACAGGACTACCTTGAATATGCTAGCCAGGTGGGTGCAGGAAATTCATTGTATAGCCCAGTAGAAGTTCTGGAACCAAAAGACTTGTCTCGATTTAAGGAGCACTGGGCTAGACTACCTCCTAGCACGATCAGGAAATTATGTTGAGGCAACAGTCATCCCTGAAGATCAAGCTTCTGACTGTTTAGGGCAGGGGTCTCCAAACTTGGTGACTTTAAGACTTGTGGACTTCATCTTCCAGAATTCCTCAGCCAGCCATGGAATTCTGGGAGTTGAAGTCCACAAGTCTTAAAAGGTGAGTTCACAAATCTTAAAATTGCCAAATTAGGGGCCCCTGGCTTAGGGAACTCAAAAAACTCATATCAGAGTAGCCCAACTATACTGAAATCCAGAGCTATAAAAAGGAATTTCTTACCCTGTGTTCAGGAAGAGGGAACTTGAGTTGGCAACTGGAACATTCTCTGAAGGAGTGGCTTCAAACCAAAATAGCCCTTGTGGCTGAGGGATTATGGGAATTGAAGTCCACATGTTCGGATGGTGCTCACTGAAGACAGTTGCTACACCCAACTGTCTGGGGACGTTTGGGAAGTTTAAATTTTATCTCGGCCCATGAGACCCGAGCTCTAGTATTTCAATGGCAAGGCGAAGTGTATCATGGGGTATGATTAATGAAGCATGAACAATGAGTGCTTAAGACGGGCAGTTAAGGTTTGATTTGACCCATACATAGAGCCAAGGTTATTACAAGCCTTAAAAAATGTTTCACTATCCCAGGGATAGGCAACCTTGGCTCTTTTATGACTCGTGGACTTCAATTCCCAGAATTCCTGAGCCAGCCATGCTGAGGGGAAAGGGAGAGGTTTCCAAGCTGAGCCATGCTGGCTCAGGAATTCTGGGAGTTGAAGTCCACGAGTCATAAAAGAGCCAAGGTTGCCTATCCCTGCACTATCCTGATGCTCATATGAATAGTGCTGAGCCGAAATCAAATCTGTCAGTCCTAGTAAAGACGGAGTATTCACTGACTTTAAGAAATCTTTTTCCACCTCTGGGTGAAGTCCATGTCCAGCCCTGCTGTCACTTTTCATCCCATCCAGGTGCAGTTTGATGAATGGGAAGACTTCAAAACCTGCACCATTGTTATCAATGACGACGATGTCTTTGAGGGGGTAGAAAGCTTCACCGTTGAGCTGAGTATGCCAGCCTATGCCTTGCTGGGGGACATGACTGAAACCCAAGTCTTCATTAACGATGCAGAAGATGAGCCCACCCTGCAGTTTGACAAAAAGGTCTACCACACCAGTGAGAGTGCCGGCATCCTATCTGTCCCCATTGAAAGGAAAGGTTTGTTGACATAGAGGAACAAAAGTTAGCTCTTACCTCTGCCCATAGAAGGCAATCATGTTTAGCTCAGGCTGCAGAGAGTCCTCAACTTAACGATTCCTTTTGAGTCCAAAATTTCCATTGTTTTTGTTTTTTTAAAACATTTGATTGGTTTTTTACAATAACAATCTCCAGTGCCTGATATACATACAGCGTGTTGTCTTGGTTTATATACTTGAAAAAACCCCAATAATAATTAATTAACAGTCAATAATGATTGATTTTGATTATTCCATAATTGGTATATTCATTAATAATATATTTCTTTGATCTTCCCTTTTCCCAATTGTGTTCTCCTTCTTTCAACCCTAAACAGATATAATTCTTAATATTTTCAATGTGTAATTGATGAAATGTAAACATTTTTTCATGTTTGTACAGATGATGATAACATCTATGGATAATGTTTTTTTTTAATCAGCTTATATTATTGTTACAGAAATCATCTTATTAGTTCACCATGGATCCTATTTTCATGGTTTTTGTTTAAGCTTAATTTCCCCTTTATATAAATCAATCCATTCTTATTAGTCATCATTTAGTTCAAGGCTACAGAGAGTCCTCGATTTAACAATCACAGCTGAGCCCAAAATTTCCATTGTTAAGGAAGACGATTGTTAAGTGACTTTTGTGCCATTTTACGACTTTACTTGCCATGGCTGTTGAATGAATCACGGCAGCTCTTAAGTTAGTAAAACATGGTTGTTAAGTGAATCTGGCTTCTTTGCTGACTTGGCTTCTCAGAAGGTCACATGACACTGCAATCGTCATAAATAGGAACCAGTTGCCAAGCGTCCAAACTTGGATCACGTAACTGTGAGGGGTGCTGTGTGAAAAAATGGCCATAGGTTGCTTTTTTCAGTGCTGTGGTAAAGGTTGTAAGTCGAGGACTACATGTATTAGATTGTCACTGTGGCCTTGTTCGCACCATTGAGGACTTTCAATGGTTTATCTTACTTAATGCACCAGTGGGCGGCGTCTTTATCAGAAGCAGCCCATGGACATTCCATGATCACCATATGTGGTGGACATGTAAGGTGGTTAAAGCATTTTGGATTAAGATTTGGTGGAACATTCAAAATATTTTTAAGAAAAAGATAAAGTTTAAACCACAGATATTTTTGTTGGGTATTTTGGAAGATTTGGATGCAAAAGAAATGGAGTTGATGTTAAATCTTATAACGGCTGCAAGATTGTTAATTGCTCAACATTGGAAAATGAAAGGTTTACCTACTATAGAAGATTGGGTAGTTAAAGTCTCAAACTTAGCTGAAATGGCCAAGATTTCCGCTTATGTGAAGGATTACTCACAAGAAAGATATATATTGGTTTGGAGAAGATGGATTGTTTATATTGAGTCGAAATATGGAACAAAAAAATATCATTTGGTTTTTGAATGAACTTCTGATTTTTAATATTTAAAACTATGTTAAAATGATGGTATTTAATAACTGTATATTTGTTTTAAAAGAGAGTTAAAGGAAGTTATAGATTTGTTAGATTAATAGTTGATTAATGTTAGTTAGATTATGATTATTTTATTGTTAATCCTGTGATTGGCTCTGGGAAGTGAGGGGGGGAGGGAGGGAGGGTTGGGTTTGGGGGGAGGGGGGATTTATATTGTAAAATTTTATAAAATTTTCAATAATAAAAAAAAAAAGAAAGAAGACTTAGGCCTGATCGGATTAAAGCAAATACAGTTTCTTCATCTTTAACTCCATGAATAGAATGTATGGTGGATTAAAAAGATAAAAAGATTGAATGTTAAAAAGATTGAATGTTAAAATAACTAGGATATGTATAAACTAAAAATTATTGATAAATGAAAGAAAAGTTATTTTTATTGAATCGATATAGTAAGAATTGTATTAGTTTAAATATGAGACAGTAAATACTGAGGGGGAAAAGAGAGGAAATATTTAAATGTAATAGTTTGAGATCTGTACTAAAGATATTTGTATGTTATTGAATTATCGACCAACTCAGCCGCCACGTTGCTTTTCAAATATTTAAATGTAAAACTAGAAAATCAATAAAATTTTCTTTAAAAAAAAAGAATGTATGGTGGAATCTCCAGCTAGAGTGGGGGGAGGGATGAAGAGGGGGGGCGAACTTAGAGTCCTTGCGTAGCAAAAAGTGAGGTAGGCTTAACGTCCCCTCAGAGTCCATGAATCTGACTTTTCCCAAGAGAATGCAGTCAGTCTGGTGAGATTCTTGTAAATAGGCATGCAGCAATAAAGAAGTAACTTTGATATCTATTCACAGGATGAGCCTGGTTCCTTGTACCTGACAAATTTGATTTTGGGGGGGATAGGAACAGTTTCTCTCCCCTTCAGGTGGGAAGCTGCACCTGCAGCAGAGGTGTGTGAACAGCTACAGTATGTTTTTTTTAAATATTCCCATCCTTTCTTTTCTTTTTTGCATGGAATTCTCCTTTTAAAAAGAAAAAAGACACTCAATACTCAATAGTCAAATTCCATACCTTTGCATAAATTTCCAGGCTGTGTTCTCCTCTTCTCCGGGAAAGGGATCCAACAGCAAGGCATTTAGGTTTGAGTGAAAAATGACTATATCTTGTAAAAAATAAGGAAGGAAGGAATTGGATTGGAGGTTGTATTGAAGAATGTAGGAAGGACTCGGATAAATATGAAAAGGTTGACAACTATTGCTTGAATCCAAGTTATTGCTCTTTGCTTCATTGCTTTTCAAACATCGCCCTTCGGTTTTCTTAAGAACTTGTTGGAGCTTATCTCTGTGAAAAGACAATATTTTTTTAAAAGACTGAGTATCCTCAGAGTACCGGGTGTGTTCATGCAACGTGACTTAAAGGCACAATAGGGCTCATCTAGCATGTCATGAATGTACATTAAGAACATACTCTGAACTTGATGAGGGATGAACCTCTCAAGTAATACAATATTTTTTCTTTCTTTTGTGTTTTGTTTTTTGACATGAGAAATATAAAAATGTTGGGATGGTTTATATAAAAGAAATGTTTTCTTTGTTTGTTTGTTTTGCTTTTTTAAAGATATGAAAAATGTAAAAGTGTTGGGATGGCTTGTATGAGAAAAAAGACTTAAATACTTAAGTGTAGCTAAGTTTGAGAAAATCTTAACCAGTAAGAATGCTTTGAATATTGTGTGGAAAACAAATTTAAATAAAAATTTTGTAAACAGGATCTATGACGAGGCAATCAAAATGATCAATTAGAAAAGAAGCTTTATATTGACGTGGTTATTATTTGCAGAAACCTGAGAAAAATGTCTATATTTAATTGTCATTTATTCAAATAATAAGAAATGTATTAATTTAAGGTTAGCAAAAGAAAATATTATTGGAAGAAGAGAAAATCAAGCAAAGCCATTGTATGGGCTATAGAATTATAGAAATTAATTGTTATTGATTGTTTGGTAAATACTAACCCAGACAACACACTGTTTACCAAATATTAAGGTGATTATGTTAAAAATCAATAAAACGTTTTTGTTTTTTTAAAAAAGAACATACTCAGAACTTTTCGCAACAAAAGTCATTAGTGATTCAGTTTAGAACATTTAAACAAAATACAAACAATTGTAAAATTAGAATTTAGGTAGGCCATCAAATTTCTTAGCAGAAATTCGTAAGGAATCCACTAAAAGGATGAACAATTTAGAAAAAGCTAACAGTAAAAATGCTGGACTAGCTACAGGTTGTCCTTGAGTTATGACCACAATGGAGCCTGCCCATTACAGTCGTAAGTAGTAATGGTCGTAAAATGGGTTGGTCACCCAAAACCTTTTTTGCAGTGGTTGTTAAGCAAATGCAGCGGTCATTAAGCAAACACCATGATTGTTAAGTGAACCCATTGATCACCATGGCGCGGTTTTGCCAAAAATCAGAAGTAAGCACTGGTTTTTAGCAAAACTGCTGTAAAACACAGGATTGCGACGATGGGAGGCTCTCAACGGTCGTAAATGGGGATCTGTTGCGATCACATGATTACAGCGAAGGGATCGGTTGTAACCTCAAACCACTCATAACCTGAGGACTACTTGTATTTTCAACAGGGATTCCTCAACTTTGTTGAAATTACAGCTCCCAGAATTCTGGGACCTGTAGTCCTAATCACAACCTGGGAAGATTATTCAGATTATTATTATTATTATTATTATAATAATAATAATAATAATAATAGTAATGCATATCCCAGGTCCTTGGTAAGGACTTGATAGGTAGACAAAATGCCAAATCCAGTCTGAACATCTGGCTGACTGTGCGATGATCCATAATAATAATAATAATAATAATAATAATAATAATAATAATAATAATAATAAAGTTGGAAGGGCCCTTGGAGGTCATCTAGTTCAACCCCCTGCTCAGGCAGGAAACCTTATACATATATTACATCAGACCGAGCTAAATAGCAATACACATACAAACAGGAGAAAGAAAATTCATCAACCACAAATTTCATTCCGAATTATCTGCTTCTCTTCAACATACCCACGATCAGGATAAAATGACGATTACTTTTAAGAAAAAAAAATTACATTTTATCAAAAGAATCTTGCGAGAGAAGTATGTTGGTTGATCATTTTTAATACGAAAAAAAAAGCAGTATTCTTTTTTCTCTGCAATGTATTGTAGGAGATTCTAGCAGCATCGTCTCTGCCATATGCTACACCGTCTCCCAAACGGCCAAAGGCAGCAGCACATACGCCCTGGAGTCTGGCTCAGACTTTAAGTCCCGGGGAATGTCCAATGAGTACCGGGTCGTCTTGGGGCCTGGTGTCACAATGACAACTTGCGATGTGAAGCTGGTTGACGACAGCGAATACGAAGAGGAGGAAGAATTTGCCGTTGCTCTCACCGATGCATCCGAGAATGCTCGCCTCGGAAGCATCGCGTCGGCTAAAGTTCTGATCAGCGGTCCCAATGATGCTTCTACTGTATCGCTCGGAAGTGCAACTTTTAGCATTAGCGAGGATGCAGGTATAATTATTTCTCTCTTTCAGTATGTTGTATTGTCCCGTTTATATTTAATGCACAAAATAGGTACCCCTGTTTCCCCGAAAGTAAGGCCTGCCCCGAAAATAAGCCCTAGCTTGATTTTGGGGGGGTGGGCCTAATATAAGCCCTACTCCAAAAATAAGCCCTAGTTTTGGGGTGAGGCACACACTTAAAAATCAAGCTGGGGTGGGGCTGTGGATCTGCCCCATGCACCCGGTACCCACTTTCCTCGCCAGCCCACTTCTTCTGAGGCGTCTTCTGCAGCCAGGCTTGCATTTCTCAATCACAGGCCTTTCCTGAAGGCCTCTGCAGCCGAGAACCGAGCTATGGATTGAATCAGTACTCGGCTGCAGAGGCCTTCCGGGAAGGCCTGACTGCAAAATGCAGGCCGGAATACAGCTGCAGAATGAAGCCACTCCCTCGGCCCCAGAAGAAGTGGGCTGGCTGGACGAGGCTGTCGGTGCTGGAGGTAAAACATCCCCTGAAAGTAAGACCTGGTGCCTCTTTTGGAAGCAAAAAAAAATAAGACCCGGTCTTATTTTCGGGGAAACATGGTATACACATGGTCCTCGGCTTACAACCATTTGTTCAGTGACCATTTGAAGTTAGAACACCACTGAAAAAAGGGACATGACCACTTTTCACACTTATGACCATTGCAGCATTCCTAGGGTCATGTGATCAAAATTTAAGTGTATCTAGACCAGTGGTTCTCAACCTGTGGGTCGGGACCCCATTTGGGGTCGATCGACCATTTCACAGGGGTCGCCAAGCAAGGCTGTCCGCCATTTTTTTTGTCCGCCATTTTTTTCCCCTTTTCCGGCGGGTGCCTTACCTCCCTTGGGCTGGGCCAGCTGGTGGTCGGCCTGCTCTGTCTCTGCCGCTTGCCAGCTACACCTCGGCNATATATATATATATATATATATATATATATATATATATATATATATATATATATATATATATATATATATATATATATATATATATATATATATATATATATATATATATATATATATATATATATATATATATATATATATATATATATATATATATATATATATATATATATAGATAGATAGATAGATAGATAGATATATAGATAGATAGATAGATAGATAGATAGATAGATAGATAGATAGATAGATAGATAGATAGATAGATAGATAGATATCAATATATCTATCAATATCTATCAATATCTACATCAATATCTATATCAATATCTATCAATATCTATCAGAGAATGAGGTGGCTGGATGGAGTCACTGAAGCAGTAGGAGTGAACTTAAATGGACTCCAGAAGATGGTAGAGGACAGGAAGACCTGGAGGAACGTTGTCCATGGGGTCGCGATGGGTCGGACACGACTTCGCAATTAACAACAACAACATCAATATCTATATCAATATCTATCTATCTATCTATCTATCTATCTATCACATTTCTACACCCTCCATTTCACCTACGTGACTCTGGACAGTTTATTATATGTATCCAGTTTGATTCCCTTCCATAAAGATGTTCACTTCAGAACAGTTTAAAGCACAGAGAAGTAAGGACCGCACAGTGTCTTTTGGAAATGAGGTACAAGCAGCAATAATCTTCTCTGCTTTTATTTGAAATGAATTGCTTTCAAATCCTCCTTCCTTTCCTGCTAGGGATTATCGAAATCCCAATTACGAGGCACGGGTCTGATCTCTCCACTCCTACCTCTGTCTGGTGCGCTACTCGGACCTCAGATCCACCATCTGCTACTCCGGGATTTGATTACATTCCCAGCTCCAAGAAGGTTGAATTTCGTCCAGGGAGAACTGAGGAGGTATGGCTATTTTTTTTCCTAATTGTAATGGAAGGATTAGATCTCAGAGTACATCACAGAAAAATTATTCCAAATGGCCTGTTCCTAGATTGAAAATTTTGCACAGCCCTAGATCGCATGACACAGAACCTGGACAAATTTAGGACTGTCAGATGAATGTAGTCCTCTTCGTTTTATTAGGCATCTTGGAATGTGTTTTGATACACTCTGATACAATTCCAAATTATTCTGGTAAGCCTTACTTGGGAAAAGAACCGGTAACCGTCAGCCAATAGCTGTTGGGAGCTATCCAAGGGAATGACAGTGAAATGTACTTGTTTCGCACGCACACCTCCTCCAATTAATCTTCTCTTGAGACCTATCAGCTCAGTGTTATTATGTAGATCAGAATTTAAAAGCTAAGGGCCAAGTGCAGACATATTTCTTTAGGGAATGCCTGCAAATAGATGTTACAATCCATTTCATGCAGTGTTTCTCAAACTTGACAACTTTAACTCTCTCCTCACACACACAAACACACACAGGGGAATTCTGGGAGTTGAAGTCCACACATCTTAAAGTTGCCAAGGTTGAGAAGCACAAAATCTAACGGTGCTGGCTGTTCCTTCCTCCTCTGAGGAAAGCAGGTACTTATACATGAAAGCTAACACTGTCAATAAAACTAAGATGCAGGTGGTTTTCGACTGACAACAATCTGTTTAGTGACCATTCGGAGTTACAACGGCATTGAAAAAAACGATTTATGGCTGTTGCTCATGCTTAGGACCCTTGCAGCATCCCCATGGTCGCGTGATCAAAATTCGGACACTTGGCCAACTGGCTCATGTTTATGACGGTTGCAGTGTCCCGGGGTCACGTGATCACCATTTGCGACCGTCTGAGAAGCAGTGGAGAAGCCAGATTCACTTAATCATGTGAATAACTTAACAACTGCAGTGATTCACTTAACAACTGTGCCAAGAAAGGTCGTAAAATGGGGCAAAACTTGCTTAACAATCCGCTTGGCCATAGAAATTTTGGCCTCAGCTGCAGTCATAAGTCGAAGACTGCCTGTGTTCTAAAACTGCTTTCTCTTTTTTTCCTCTCATCCTCTCACGTACGTTTATACAGGGAGGGTAGCATTTTTTTTATATGTAGGGCCCTTGGTGGCATCTGAGGGGGGGCATTAGAGGATCTCAAAAATATGCAGGGTTGAACCTTGGATGGGAAACCAGCCACAAATCCAGATGCCTCCAGAAGTTTTGGGTGCTCCAGCACTGGAGGTTTCTAAGAAGAGATTGGGCAACCGTTTATGTGAAATGGGATAGGGTCTCCTGCTAGAGCAGGGGGTTGGACTAGAAGACCTCCAAGGTCTTTTCCAACTCTTGTTGTTCTGTTATGAAAACATAATGACTGTAGAGCAGAGGTCCCCAACCTTTTGGGCACCAGGGACCGGTTCCGTGGAGAGAGGCTTTTCCGCAGACCGGAGGGGGCGTGGTTTTGTGTGCTGCCTGCATCTCGCACATGGGGCTTTGCTTGTTTGTGTGGACCGGTTGCTGGCATGCTGCGCCCCGGTACTGGTCCACGGACCGGGGGTTGGGGACCACTGCTGTAGAGGAAACAATATGAATATATCCTGAAGGGACTAGGCCAGGGGTAGGCAACCTTGTCTCTTTTATGACTCGTGGACTTCAACTCCCAGAATTCCTGAGCCAGCATGGCTCAGCTTGGAAACTCTCCCTTTCCCCTCAGCATGGCTGGCTCAGGAATTCTGGGAGTTGAAGTCCACAAGTCATAAAAAAGCCAAGGTTGCCGACCCGTGGACTAGGGGTTGAGCCTGACTTCATTATGGAGAGCTAATCCGATGTAGTTATTAAAGTGATAGATTGGAAATGGTCATTGTGAATTCTAATCCTTCCTTAGGCATGGAAGCAGGGTAAATGACTCTCTCTCAGTCCAACCCACCTCACAGGGCTGTTGTTTTGCAGAAACAGGAGAGGAAGCATTATGTACCGCCACCTTGAGTTGCCCAAAACAAAACGGGACTATAAATCAAACAAATGTTATACAGTATATCTTTATAGAATGTGCTGTTCTATTTCTTTTATTCCCCCATTAGTATTGCACCTTGACTATTCTGGATGATGCCCAGTCCCCAGTGATTGAAGGGGTGGAGACCTTTGTGGTCTATTTGAGTTCCCCTCAAGGAGCAGAGCTGGCCAAACCTTTTCAAGCGGTGGTGGCCATTAATGACACCTTCCAGGATGGTAAGTAGATGAGCAAATCCTAAATTAATGCCAGTGGAAACCAGACATACCTGGTTTCAGCAAGGCTGCTTTAATGCTTAAGTTGGTTTAGACCAGGGGTAGTCAACCTTGGCTCTTTTATGACTCGTGGACTTCAACTCCCAGAATTCCTGAGCCAGCCAAGCTGGCTCAGGAATTCTGGGAATTGAAGTCCACGAGTCATAAAAAAGCCAAGGTTGACTACCTGTGGTTTAGACTGAAGAGTTGGGTAAGACTGAATGACATCGGGATTCTGAAGATGCTGTGAGCCTACTGGGTCTCAAATCACAATATATTCTCTTGCCGTGGGCAAAGTTGGTGTTGTTCTATTCTATTAAATCTCAAGTCAGGTGCTCTCTCTGGCTGCAACCCTTCTTGGAAGGAGGCCATGCATTTCTAGGAGTGCTGTTAATCTGTGGTTCTAAGGCAGGGGTGTCAAACTCAATTTCATTGAGGGCCGCATCAGCATTGCGGTTGCCCTCGGGGGGCCAGGGGGGTGCGACCTATTGGGTGGGTGTGGATGGAATGGGTGTGGCCTGTTGGGTGGGCGTGGCCAGCTCTTCATCATTTGCGTCAAGGGTGCCTGTGGGGGCCTGGGCAGGAGTGGGACAGATCTGAGGGTCTCTGGCAGAAAGGGGTGGGACCAGGGCAGAGCCCATCAAGCCGGATATGTGAAGTAGGCGAGGGCCATTTGCTGGCCACTTCCAGGCGATGGTGCATTTCTTCATTCCTCACAAAGGGTGACACCTCCCCAGCATGCACCCAGGGGGTGCGGCCGACGCGGCAGGGGCTGGTTCCTCGCTGTTTCCAGACGGCCTTGTGGAGCTAAGACTGAATGCGTTTCAGCATAGATGGCCACCACAAAATTGTACATTGGCTCCCGGCCGGCCTGGGCCAGGGCCAAGGCAGCGGGGGCCGTTCTCTCACTGTTTCCAGGATGGCTTCGCGGGCCACATGAAACCACTTCGCGGGCTGCATCTGGCCCCCCGGGCCTTGTGTGTGACATGTCTGTTCTATGGGAATATAATTCAATCATCCTTAAAGCAACATCGGGGATGTTCGTAATGTACAGTAGGCTTCTGTGCGTTTGCCCGAGAAGGCATTTTAGCACATGTGCCCTTAACTCTAAATTGTCTTACACTGGGAATTATGGAGTTCCACAATTGTTGTTACACCATACATTCCGACAGAAAAAAAGAGATTATTCTAGCAATTTCAGGGCTCTTTTCTTTTATACACAAATGCTTGACCTAGAAATTCCCAATTTTGGCCCAGCTTCCACCTAGTGGACCTATGTCTGCCCCAGTCCTTTCCTTCAACCTTATATTTATTTTGTCTTTTGATTGCTTTTGGTTTTTTGTTGCAATTTATAACATCAAGCAATATCCAAGGCGTGTTCCAGCAGAGCTTTCCACAGCCTAAAGCCCTTCAGATGGTGGGCTTACCTCCCATGATACTTGAAATCTGGTGCTTCTGGAGGACATTGAGTTGAGAAAGGCAACTTTGACTTATTTCATGTTTCTAAAAGTTATGCTGTCTCTTCCTTCCTTCCTTCCTTCCTTCCTTCCTTCCTTCCTTCCTTCCTTCCTTCCTTCCTTCTCTCCTTCTCTCCATCTCTCCTCCTCCTCCCCTTTCTTTCCCCCCTTCTCTACCTTTTCTCTGTCTCCGTCTCCTCCTCCTCCTCCTCCTCCTCTTCCTTTACAGTACCAAACATGAAGTTCAGTAAAGATATCTACTCTGTGAAAGAGAAGGACCGTGTCCTACAGGTTCCTGTTATCCGTTCTGGAGACTTAAGCTACGAATCTTCAGTCAGGTGCCATACCCAGAGTCAGACCGCGAGAGTCATGGAGGATTTTGAGGAAAGGAGAAACACTGAAGAATCGCGCATCACATTTTTGAAAGGGGAGAAGGTGAGTGAATATAGCTGGCAGAGAACTGAGGATTTAACATGGCAGAGAGAGAGAGAGAGCCATCAACTTCAAGCCCTTGGCCCAGTTTCAGAACTGCTGCAATCTGTCAGGTCAGACTTGTGGCAAGGAAAACATGTATTTTTTTTTCTGGGTGAAGAAACGCATGAAATGGAAATGTGGGTTATGACTCAACTTAAATGCGTTTTATTCTCTTGAAGAATAAGTCCATCGAAGACAGATGGACTGGGGGCTGAGGCACAATTTGTGAAGATATACTTGGCTTTGTCATGTACATTGGCAGAGCTGGGGGTTATTTCTCTTGCGGGGAGATGGTTGGAAGAATGATTAGGGGTTTTACCCTGTGACGTATGTTTTAGAGTTTAGGGTGTATGTTTCCCACCTCAAAATGGAAGGAACTTCGGCTTTTTAAAAATTGTTTATCCCGTCTTCATCATTTTTTATGAATAAATCAGCAGAAATGCCAAATACTTCCTCCTGTTTTCTCCGCAACAAGAACCCTGTGAGGTGGGCTGGGCTGAAAGAGAGTCTGACTGGCCCAAAGTCACCCAGCCGGCTTTCAGGCCTAAAGCAGAACTAGAACTCGCAGTCTCCTGGTGACTGGCCCAAAGTCATCAGTTGGCTTTCAGGCCTAAGGCGGGACTAGAACTCACAGTCTCCTGGTGACTGGCCCAAAGTAACCAGTTGGCTTTCAGGCCTAAGGCGGGACTAGAACTCACAGTCTCCTGATGACTGGCCCAAAGTCACCAGTTGGCTTTCAGGCCTAAGGCGGGACTAGAACTCACAGTCTCCTGGTGACTGGTCCAAAGTCAGCTTTCATGCCAAAAGTTCGATTAGAATTCATAGTATCCTGGTTTCTAGCCTGTTGCCTTCACCACTAGACCAAACTGTCTGTTCTGTTAAAGATTTTGGTCACTGTATCACTGAGCTTTGGCCCAGCCCTGGTCTAAGAAGAAATTGGTTCACTTGATCGCGGTTAAATAATACTTCTGTTTAACACCTCCTTGGAAGTTGCTGCTAGTCAAATCTCTAACTCTTATTCCCCTCCTAAAATGATCGTTCCTTGACACGCATGTTTTGTTTGGTTTCTTGTGAGTTAATTTCCTCCAGGAGTACAGCATAATATATATTTTGCACTCCTTTCTCCTATTTTTCCCATCCACCACAACTATTCTGTGGGGTCGGATGGCCGTTGAGCGAAGGATGAAAAGTCCTAGTTGAGGAAAATCCTGGTGGATCTCTCTGCTTCCTTTTCATCACCTTTCCATTACTTTTCCATCTTGGGCCTGTGATCATTTAACAGCAGAATAACATAATTTAATGCAGTTAAAATGGGCCCTCAATGAATACTAAGTTCAGGCATGATTAATCTGATCTCCTCTTTCAATTACAGCTGAATGGCTAAATTAAAGGCAAAGCTAAGAGTCTGTACTTCTGCTACTAATTAAAAGGGATGATCCAGCTAGTTTTGGCAAAGTGGTTCCTTTCTGGTGCTGCCAGCATCCGATGGGACATAAGATAAGGCTCCTTCACGGTCTCATCCATTTTCTAAAATCCCCTGCCTAAAGGAAGCCATTGTCAAGCGCCGGGGAAATCCGGAGACTCAGGCAGTTCAAATGAGTATAAAGATTTATTGCAAGTTTAACCGCTCTACAAGAATCCGAACTACTAATAGTCAAGGGAAATTAAAAATAGAAAGGAATTCAAGGTGGGCTGGACTTCGATCTCTTGTGGGCATGCAGGGATTCGTAACTGATGACGCATTTGATTCCTCCCTCGCGCTCAGCCAGGTCATCTCCTACTGCCGTTTCCAGCCTTTAGTACAGTGGTGGTGAACCTGTGGCACGGGTGCCAGAGGCGGCACTCAGAGCCCTCTCTGTGGGCACATGCGCCGTCACCCAGTCCTAGGCCTTCAGCTGGGTTTTATAAAACCTTTTTGCTTTAGGCCTCCGCCACCGTGTGCAAAAAAAAAAGGTTCAATCAATCAGTCAATTTCAACTTCTCGCAGGAAAAAAAAAGATCTTGCAAAGTTGGAATTGATTGATTGAACATTTTAGTCCCACCCAGTTTGCCGTTACCACCGCAGCCACGCCCACCCATTGGGCCACACCCACCCGGCACCCGACGATGCATAAGTGGGTTTTGGGTTGCAGTTTGGGCACTCAGTCTCTAAAAGGTTCACCATCACTGCTTTAGCAGCTTTCACTACTCTGAGACGTCAACTGAATAATTGCTTCTCATAGCCTTGGTTTGAAATAATTTCTTTCAGTGACACCTGTCATTTTATTTCTTAGCCATTATTCCCGATTTGTCTTTTATTACCGGTAGTCCTTGGCTTACAACTATTTGTTTAGTCATCGTTCGAAGTTATAAAAGCACTGGGGGAAAAAAAAGAGTGTCAGAGCATGCACAGTCTTATTGTGCTGAGGTAACCAGGAGTAAATACAGTAAACAGTGGTTTGTATTAAATGGTGGTTTATATTACACTATCTACAATATACACTAGAAACTAAATACATACACGTGGTCATACAGCAAACTCCAATATACAGCAATTACAGCAGGAAACAGACAAAAGAGGAAAAACTCCAGCAAGGCCTTCCCTTTTATACTCAAGATAATAATAATAATAATAGTAGTAATAATAATAATAATAATAACAACAACAACAACAACAATGATAATAATAACCCCCTGCTCAGGCAGGAAACCCTATACCATTTCAGACAAATGGCTGTCCAGTCTCTTCTTAAAAACTTCCAGTGTTGGAGCATTCACCGCTTCTGGAGGCAGGTTGTTCCACTGGTTAATTGTTCTCACTGTCAGGAAGTTTCTCCTTAGTTCCAGGTTGCTTCTCTCCTTGATTAGTTTCCATCTGTTGTTTCTTGTCCTGCCTTCAGGCGCTTTGGAAAATAGCTTGACTCCCTCTTCTTTGGGGCAGCCCCTGAGATATTGGAACACCGCTATCCTGTCCCCCCTCGTCCTTCTCTTCATTAAACTAGACATACCCAATTCCAGCAACCGTTTCTTATATGTTTTAGCCTCCAGACCTCTAATCATCTTTGTTGCTCTTCTCTGTACTCTTTCTAGAGTCACAACATCTTTTTTACATCGTGGTGACCAAAACTGGAAGTAGTATTCCGAGTGTGGCCTTACCAAGGCATTGTAAAGTGGTATCTTAAAGGAATACAGACTCCTGCTGAGTCATTCTTAACATTGCATCATTCATCTCACATTATACAAGCTGGTTAGCTTCTAAATCATTACCTTGACAAAGAGGTATGACCATTTTTCACAGTTATGACCGTTGCAGCATCCCCATGGTCACATGATCAAAAATTCGACCCGCTTGGCAACCGGCATGTATTATGACAGTTGCGCTGTCCTGGGGGTCATGTGATCCCCTTTTACGACCTTCCCATCAGCTTCTGACAAGCCAAGTCAATGGGGGAAGCCAGATTCACTTAACAGCCACAGGATTCTCTTAACAACTGCAATGACTCATTGAATAGCTGTAGCAAAAAGGTCGTAAAATGGGGCGCCACTTAACAACTGTGCTGGTTAGCAAATTTGGGGGTCAATTGTGGTCGTGAGCTGTAGTCTTATTGTGAGATGCCTTGAAATTTAATTAGATGTACAGGTAGTCCTCAACTTACACCAGTTCATTTAGTGACCGAAGTTACAGCGTCATTGAAAAAGTTGACAGATGACCATTTTTCACAATTACGATCTTTGCAGCATCCCCATGGTCATGTGGTTTATATTCAGATGCTTGACAACTGACTCATATTTATGACGGTTGCAGTGTCCCGGGGTCGCGTGATCTCCTTTTGCGACCGTCTGACAAGCAAAGTCAGTGGGGAAACCAGATTCACTTAACAACGGTGTGACTAATTTAACAACTGCAGTGATTCAGTTAACCTGTGTGACAAGAAAAGTCTTAACTTAACAATTTTCTCACTTTTAACAACATAACGTTTGGGCTCAGTTGTGGTTGTAAATTGAGGACTACCTGTATAAGATATCTATGGAGATTCTCAGTCATCCAGGTCATGGTTGTCCCAAAGGTGCTTTTTTCACAAAAGTCCAGTTGCCTCATGAAAAAAGCACCTTTGAGACTATCTGTATAAGACTTGCTTCATAAATGAATGAATTATGTGGATTGCTTCCCAATCCTTACTGTAATATCTTTGACTTTAGGTAAAGAACTGCACTATCATTATTAAGGATGACTCTGCCTTTGAACCGGAGGAGAGATTCCGGATATATCTGAGTGAACCCCAAGGAAACCACTGGAGTGGGGCTACTGTTGGGAAAAGCAACATGGCTTCTGTAGTTATTTCCAACGATGAAGATGGTAAGAAGGATGGGCTCGCATTTAAATATGCATTCATCTGAGTTTTATTACAATTGCTTGATTATTAGTTGTCTTCTGCACATCCAGATCCGGTACTTATTTTAAAGCTTAACATAATATTCACTTTTAACATTTATCTTTTAAAATTTCATCTTTCTCATGCGCCTCTATTAGAGTCTTGCGTGTATTCTCTTGTGGATTTGCGGGTTTGCAAGCACCCAGGAGCAATGTTTTCTAACTCAAATTACTTAGGCTTTTGAACAATGCTTCTTTCCCAATTGTGTGGACCAGCTTTTTGACCCAGGTAATCAGCTAGTAAACTGTGGTCTTTAACATAGGAGTTGAAGATCGGTAATAGGACAAGAAGCAACGGATGGGAACGGATCAAGGAGAGAAGCAACCTAGAACTAAGGAGAAATTTCCTGACAGTTAGAACAATTAACCAGTGGAACAACCTGCCTCCAGAAGTTGTGAATGCTCCAACACTGGAAGTTTTTAAGAAGAGATTGGACAACCATTTGTCTGAAATGGTATAGGGTTCCCTGCTTGAGCAGTGGGTTGGACTAAATGACCTCCAAGTCTTTTTGTGCTGTTTATTCTACTGGGTCAGTTGCCATAATTGCATAATTGACCTCCACTACAGCAGTAAAATTAACTAAGAAAAGATATGTTTGGTTTTAGGAGGCACAGTCAGCTGGCTACAGGATGTGCCTTGAAGTAACCTTTTTCCCTTTGAATCCCAAGTCCTATATCCACCTTTTCTGTTCTGGTAATGCACAGGAAGATGAGCTGAAAAACACAGAGATGGTGTTCAACAAACATACTGGTTGCTTAACAATCACATGACTACAGGAGTCCTCAACTTATCACCATATCTGAGCCTGGAATGACAGTTGTAAGTCATGCTGGTCATTAAGAGGGTCTTGCCACATGACTGCATGTGATTTTATGATGTTTTTTATGGTTGTTAAACAAGTACTGCAGTCATTAAACAAATCTATTGTCCATAAGGGGGTTTTGTTTTTTGTTTTTTGGTTGGAAACCAGAAATAAATACCAGTTTCTAGCAAAAACAAAAAAAATTAAAAAAAATCCCACAAATCACAGTTGTGATGATGAGATGCAGCAAATGACTGTAAATGTGGACGGGTTGCCGAATGCCCAAAATATGAACATGTGACCATAGGGGGTGTGGCCATTGGAACTTTGAACCCACCTTTTAAATAGCTTGGAGGAGTCTGTTGTAACTTTGAATGATCGTTAAGTGACCAATCATAAGATGAGGACTATCTCTATGTGATATTGAAAATATAGACATCTGTTTATGTCCAGTTATGCCCAATACCTGTGGTTGCCTTATCCTTTGTCTAATTGCCTTTTGAAGTCATCACGACCTCTTACCGAATCACATTCCGCAGCTGAATGGATTGTTGTTACGTTACATGAAGAACAACCTTTTTTCTCCTATTCCGAACCTTGGGCACTCCGTGCAATTGCTCAGCTAACTTTCTCCAAACCTGCATTAATCTTTGTCATGTCTGTGCTTAACTGTTTTATTTTTAAAACATCTCCACTAATCTTGGCCCTGGAGCCACTTCGAGTACCCCCCCCCCAAAAAAAGTAATAATCAGGAAAAGGATCAGTCAATAAACTTGTCCTTACTTGGCAGAGTCTGTTAAATTTTAGTAAAGAGTCTTTAAAATGTTTCTGCTGAAGCAAGTGGTCTCCAAAGTTTAGGATAGGGCTTCGTTTCCTGGCATTAATAATTGGCACTCAAAAAAGAAATAAATCTGAGCGATTACAGACAGCTTGGTCCGCAAGATGAGTTAAAACAGCGCTCTCCAACCTTTCCAGCTTTGCGGATCAGCAGCGATGGGGGGGGGGAGAGGGAATGGTTCCGCACACACAGCAGTTGAGTGTGCAACTGCATGCAGCTCCATTTGTGCAAGTGTCATGCTTGTACACCCACCTTCGCGCAAGTGGAGCTGTGTGTAGTTGTGCAGCCCAGTTCCAAACTGGCTACAGCCCGGTACTGGGTCACAACCCAGGGGTTGGGGACCCCTGTGTTAAAATGTTCTTCATGTCTGAAAACTGATCCAGGTCTTTTTTTTCTTCGGCTTCCTCCATAATTCCAGCTCCCACCATTGAGTTTGAAGAAATTGGGTACCAGGTCCGTGAACCCCCTGGACCGGAAGGTGTTGGCTTCTTAAACGTTAAGGTGATCCGGACAGGAGATCAAAATAGGACCTCGAAAGTTCGCTGCAGCACCCGGGACGGTTCGGCTCAGTCTGGAATTGATTATTACCCAAAGAGTCGAGTCCTCAAGTTTAACCCTGGTAAAAAAACAAAAAAAAAAGGATTTATAATACAGGAAGTCCTCAACTTGCAACCACAATGGGCCCCAACATTTCTGTTGCTCAGCGATTCGGGTGTGTTAAATGCGCTCTGCCTCATTTTGCAACCTTTTTGCCGTGTTACTAAGCGAATCGCTGCGGTTGTTAAATGAATCTGGCTTCCCCCGTTGAGTTTGCGTGCCGGAAGCCGGCTGGGAAGTTCGCAAACGGGAATCACATGAACCTGGGACTTTGCAACCGTCATAAATACATGACAGTTGCCAAGCGTCCGAATTTTGATCACGTGAACATGGCGCAGGCTGCAACGGTCACAAATGTGAAAAATGGTCATAAAGTCACTTTTTTCAGTGCTGTTGTAACATTGAACAGTCCCTAAATGAATGGTTGTAAGTTCGAGGACTACCTGTAAAGGAGACACTTTTCAGGCACAAAGGAGTTGGTTTGCTTGTTGTGTTTATTGTGTGTGCCCCCTGGTGGATCTGTAGATGCAACAAGCAAGCGCCTAAGTCCAGAAAGAGAATTAAAAATCCTTTTGCCCTTTAAGCAAAGGCACAAAGATTTAGCTGATTGCTTTGTGCCAATACGTGAAGCTAATCCTTCTCCGTGCCTCTTAAGACCTTAGCAATCTTGCAGCTTCTACTGTAAAATCTTCCCCATCTGTTTTCTTGGTCCAGATGTTTGGCTCTCCACTTCTTCCCTTAAATCCCTGCAGAATGCACTGGAGCAAGAACAGAAGGCACGTGCAGTAAATTCCCATTCATTTCAGTGAAAAAGTTATGGGATGATGACCCCTCATTTAGCAAAATCAGTGGGACTTCACTAAGTCCTGTCCTGAAGGCAGGACAAGAAGCAACAGGTGGAAACTAACCAAGGAGAGAAGCAACCTAAAACTAAGGAGAAACTTCCTGACAGTTAGAACAATTAACCAGTGGAACAACCTGCCTCCAGAAGCGGTGAATGCTCCAACACTGGAAGTTTTTAAAAAGAGACTGGACAGCCATTTGTCTGAAATGGTATAGGGTTTCCTGCCTGAGCAGGGGGTTGCACTAGATACTTCCTGTTCTAACTGTCAGGAAGTTTCTCCTTAGTTCTAGGTTGGTTTTCTCCTTGATTAGTTTCCATCTGTTGTTTCTTGTCCTGCCTTCAGGCGCTTTGGAAAATAGCTTGACTCCCTCTTCTTTGGGGCAGCCCCTGAGATATTGGAAGACTGCTATTATGTCCCCCCTCGTCCTTCTCTTCATTAAACTAGACATACCCAATTCCAGCAGCCGTTCCTTATATGTTTTAGCCTCCAGTCCCCTAATCATCTTTGTTGCTCTTCTCTGTACTCTTTCTAGAGTCTCAGCATCTTTTTTACATTGTGGTGACCAAAACTGGATGCAGTATTCCAAGTGTGGCCTTACCAAGGCATTGTAAAGTGGTATTAATACTTCACGTGATCTTGATTCTATCCCTCTGTTAATGCAGCCTAGCACTGTGTTGGCAGTGGCAGCACACGGCTGACTCAATATTTAAGCGATTGTCCACTAGGACTCCAAAATCCCTCTCACAGTTGCTACTATTGAGCAAGGTACCACCTATACTATACCTGTACGTTTGGTTTTTCTTGCCTAAATGTAGAACCTTGCTTTTTTCACCATTGAATTTCATTTATCCACGTTCCTTGATTCTTTTCTTCCTGGTTTCTGCTCCTTCCACTTCCCTGCCTACCCACAACTCCTGTTCTCCTGCGGTTTTTCCCAGGAGCAAGTTTTGCCACCTCATCTTGTGAACCACCTGCCCATCACAATCCTAGCGTGCTTGGCCCTACACAAAATTCAACAAGATCAGCAACTCTGTGCTCATGAGGAAGAACCAACAACACCCCCCCCCCAAAAAAAAAGGCATGCCTGCAAGCAGGAATACCAGCAGTATATTTGGATCATAGATTTTTATTATAGTCGGACAGGCACCATTAATCCTTGCATGGCATCAGTTAGTAAACCTGCCAGGCAATCAGTCAGGAAGTGTGGTATATTAAAAAAAAAGGAGAAATGATTATGTTGGGATAAAACTGTGTTTGCTTTTATCTCAAGAGATTAGTAGAGCTTCTCCAGATGTATTGGAACTCCAGGATCTTGAATTCCTGGAATTCATCAGGAGAATGCAAGTTTAAAGAGGAATGTTTTAGTGAGAACAGCTTTAATGTTCCTTTAATACCCTATTTTCCTCCTGTCTTGACTATTGCAATGCACTCTACATGGAGCTGCCCTTGAAAAGTATCCGAAGGCTCCAATTGGTCCAGAATGCTGCAACCCGCATGGTTTTGTTCAGGCTCAGGTGTGTACATGTGTTACCTCTTCTGCCGGAGCTGAATGGCTGCCAATTTGCTTCCAGGTCGAATTCAAGGTGCTGGTTGTCACCTTTCAACAGCATCAATGCATTAAATTTAAAATGCATTAAATTTAAAATGCATTATATGGCTGCATTAATAGAGGGATAGAATCAAGATTACATGAAGTGTTAGTACCACTTTATAATGCCCTGATAAGACCACACTTGGAATACTACTTCCAGTTTTGGTCACCAGAATATAAAACAGATTCTGAGACTCTAGAAAGAATACAGAGAAGAGCAACAAAGATGATCAGGGGACTGGAGGCTAAAACATATAAGGAATGGTGGCTGGAATTGGGTATGTCTGGTCTAATGAAGAGAAGGACGAGGGGGGACATGATAGCAGTGTTCCAATATCTCAGGGGCTGCCCCAAAGAAGAGGGAGTCAAGCTATTCTCCAAAGCGCCTGAAGGCAGGACAAGAAGCAACGGGTGGAAACTAATCAAGGAGAGAAGCAACCTAGAACTAAAGAGAAACTTCCTGACAATTAGAACAATTAACCAGTGGAACAACCTGCCTCCAGAAGCGGTGAATGCTCCAACACTGGAAGTTTTTAAGAAGAGACTGGACAGCCATCTGTCTGAAATGGTATAGGGTTTCCTGCCTGAGCAGGGGGTTGGACTAGATGACCTCCAAGGTCACTTCCAACTCTGTTATTCTGTTACATAGCTTGGGACCAGGTTATC